AAATAGAATAATGGTACCAGTGGGAAGGAACGGGCTACACCACTCCTGACTAGCTGCAGCGAGCCTAAGGGGGCCACCCTCAGTGGGTGCAAGCCTCACCCTCAGACCTCAGCGGTGCACCTGGGGGCAGACGCAGGCAGGTTTGGGAGGGTGCCGCGGGGGCCAGCCAGAGTCCACCGACCTCACCTTATCACAGTGCCTAGGGCCACCTGTCGCTTCACTTCTGACTCCCTCTGCTTGGAGAACCCCTCCCTTCCCAGAGGCAGGCTCTCCCCATGGTCCTGATCAAGGGTCCCTATCTGACCCGAGGCCTTTATTGCTTTTATTCCGCTGCCCCTGCCCCTGAGTAATCGTCCTCATCCATTCAGGGTAACCCTCCGCACCCTCGCCCCTAGTTTCCCTGTCCTTGGCCCTACATGTTCTAGTGTCCCCAGAAGCTGGGCCGGTGAGCTGTGGGCACCCGATCTACCCATTACAGTCCCGCTCAATCGTCCATCACCAGCAAGGGACTGCCCAGCCCACGACCACTGCCAGGCCGACGGTGCGCAGGCGGAGGGCCTCCACGAGGTCCCCGGAGGGGTCCTCTAGTCCCTTCACCATCGTGGGTCCCGGGGAGGGTCCCGAGGCCTAGCGCAGGTCTGGCGTTCAGAGGGTCCCTGAGTCACGCCTGATGGGTTCGGGGAGGGGTTGCGCTCGAGCCGCCGGACCTCGAAGCGGGGGTGGGAGATGGGGTCTCGAGGGTCAGGGCAGGGTGCCCAGGAATGGGGTCAAGTCGGGGGTCTCGGGGCAGGTCGGGGGCTCCGGGGTCCGCGGGGCGGGCCGGCGTCTCGGGTGGGGATCCAGCGTCTTCCGGGACCCGACCCGGGTCGCGGGTGCACACGAGCGCGGGGGCCGGGGCTGAGCGCACCGGGGCACGCAGGGCGCTTCCTCACGCTCCACGCACGCCCCTCCGGGAGCCGCGCTCGACCCCGCGTGACCGGAAGTGCCCCCCCGTGGGCGCGGGCGGGGCGGGGCCGGCGGCGGTACTTCCGGTGCCCACGCGCCGCCGCCGCGCAGCTCCGGGGCCGTCACTTTGTGTAGCGCGGGGCGCGCAGGCCCTGCCCGGCCCCGGCGTCCGGCGGCGGCTCGGCCGGCCCGGCGCGCGGTGAGTGGGTGGCGGGGCCGGCGGGTGGCGGCGCGTGCGGCAGGTGCGGCGTGGGCGTGGGCGTGGGGCTGAGGCTGGGCCGCTCCTCGGCGCCGGGTCGGGGGCTGGGAGGCCGCTGCGCGCGGCGGGGCCGCGGGACCTGGGCCTGCGCCGGCGGGTCGGAGCGGCGCGGGGGCCGGGACCTCGGCAGCCGCGCCCACGCCCGTTGGACCTGCAGCCCCCGCCCAGGCCTGCGCGAGGGGCGAGCTCCGAGCCTCAGGGCCTGTCCCGGGGGGCAGGGCGGGCTGGGGAGGACACGCACGACTCCTCGGGAGGGGGTCGCCGCCGTCTGCGGCGGGGGTTGGGCTGTGGCCGCCCCCGGGGACACACCCATCCAGGAGGGGCTGTCACCGCCAGGGCCTCCGTGGGAGGCCGAGACCGCTGCGCTCTTTGGAGGAACGGAGGGGCTTGGCCTGACCCCCGTGAGCTTGCTTAGAGACCTTGAGGGCCTTGCTGGCTTCTCCCTTGTCTGCAAATGGAGGCCCCAGTGGGCTGCTATGCTGGGTTCTACAGCCAGTACTGGAATTGGATGGGGTCTGGGCTGCCCCATGTGGCCACAGAGGTGGGAGAGGGGCTGGCCTTTGGTGGAGGACCCTGTGTGTGTGGGGGGCAAGGGGAGGTTGTGCAGGGGGATCAGTCCCCTAGCTGCTCCTGTGTGGGGAGACCTTGGCAGTTGATTTGGTTCAACAAGTGTTGATAGGTTTGGGGAGCTGGCCTGCCTGCACCAGGACCAAACCCAGGAGAGCAGGGAAACCCAAATCCATGGTCAGACAGTGAGGACCCTGGTAGTCAGGGCAGGAAGGCTTCCTGGAGGAGGTAAAACCTTGAAGGTCTGAATACAGGGCTGTGCTTAGTAAGGCCACCCAGAGGGAAGGAGTCCATGTACACCCAGTGTGTGGAGCACACCTCCCCTACTTTTGTGTCTACTTACCCACCTTTGTAGAGCATTTCTGACAGTTTTTAAACTTTGCCATTTCTTTCTGTCCTGGGGGCCCTCCTTCTCAGCGTGGAGGGTATCTTGTCACCCCCAGTTCTGATTGTCTGCAGCACCGTATCCTAAGGTGCAGGGCTCCAGCAGAAATAAGGGTCTGGGATGACCCGGGGTTTGTGTTGATGCTGCCGCTTACGTGACCCTCTGTGGCTGCTGACCTGGAATTGAACACTGGGAAGTAAGCAAAGCAAGTTTCTGGGGGGTTGACAGGCTGGGCAGAGAAGAAGGGAGAGTGTGCAGGTCTGGGGAGCATACCCAGCACCCCCCTGGGCTGCGGAGGCAAAGTGAATGTAGTGCTCAAGTTACCGAGGCCCATTTTTCAGAACCACCCTGTTCTGGATTCTGGGTCAGGGTACATGGAGTGTCTGGCTGTGCTGGGCCCCGATCACATCTGCAGGGTGACTGCTGGCCTCCATGGCTGCTGGGCCTTTCCCTTTCCTGGTCACCAGCAGGTGCACTTCTTGGGAGAAGGGACTTCAGACCAAACCTCTTTGGAGGCAGAGACTCTCCAGGGCCTCTGGGATGGAACCCTTGACAGTGGTCAGTCTGTCCTGGAATGCGACAGGCCAAAATACTGAGTTTTTAAAGTTTCACGTGCATCACATTGACAACAGACTGGAGAGTCATTCTTCAATAAATGTTTGAGCACTGTGTCTGGCATGGGGGCATTCAGAGATGAGCAAAGGGAACTTCCGCCTTCTCAGTTGACGGTGTCCCCAGGAGACTGGCAGTGAGCAGACAATTCCATAAGCGTATAAAGTACGGGTGCTGTGAGAGCAGAGGCCAGGTCTCTGCGGGTAACTGGGCCCTTGGAGCTGCCTCCGGAGCATGAGTGAGGAAGAGGGGAAGAGAATTTCAGGGGGAGGGGATGGCACATGCCCCGGTGGTGAGGCAGGACAAGCATAGGGATGATTTATTCCAAAGCCATGGCATTTTTTTTTTTTTTGAGTGTGGGTTCCTGGATCCTGAGACCTGGCCTGTGGGAGTCAGGTCTGGGTGGTGGCCAGGAGGGAGGCATCTCTGCCTGGCTTGGCATGGCCTCTGGGCTCAGCCTGAATTTGCAGCCTGAGGTCTTGGTGAGGAAAGACCCCTCTGAGCCTGAGGCAGGTGGTAGTTGGGAAACCTCTGCTGGTCTCTCATTGCCCCGAGTGCTGGGCAGGGCTGTGTCCTCCTGGAGGTGGCTGGAGTGACAATTGGGGCACCTTCACACACCCAGAGAGCTGTGGAGACCGAGGAGGTCACTTTGGGGCAGGTTGGAGGCTGGGGTTGCGGGGCAGTTCTTTACCTGTGACCTTGGGCTCAGTGATCGTGAATCTAGAATGGGGCTGGAGCCAGCTGGAAGGATCATGAGGGTCAGGACAGGGGTGGCTTCTGCGTGCTAATGAGCCTCAGTTGCTGGACCTGGGCCCTGGTCTCTGGGAGGAGCTGTATGAATGCTCCAGGCTCTCTCACCAGTACAGTGTGGGTTTGAAGCAGCAGCTCAGCGAGTGAGTGTACACTGCCTTATTAGTAGAACAGTGATGAGCTGTGGAGTAAGAGCTCATCGCTGAGCAGTTCTCCTGGGCACCCAGTGGTCTGACCTGTCCTCCTGACCATGGGCATCTTTTTTAATCCTCACCTGAGGATATTTTTCCATTTATCTTCAGATAGAGTGGGAGAGAGTGAGAAGGGAGAGAGAGACAAAGAGAGGCATCGATGTGAAAGAGACACATCAACTGGTTGCTGCAGCACGACCCCGACCAAGGCCAGGAACCAACCACCACCGAGGTGTGTGCCCTTGGCCGGAATCGAACCCGCGACTCTTTGGTCCACAGGCCAGTGCTGTAACTGCTGAGCCAAACCGGCCTTGTCAGACCGTGGGCATCTTTATGCTGGCACTCCTGTCCTGTTTTAGGGGTTCTACGGTAGATGCTGTCCGCTGGGAGAACTGGATGAGCTGGACTGGGCCCAGTTGCCCTGTGTGGCCTGACATTAAAAGACCCTTCCGGGTTCATGTCCTCATCCCAGGATTCTGGGTTTGTTGTGTTTGTAGTGCGCTTGGCTCGTGTCAGAAATGAACCTGTTCGGGTCTGAGCTACTGATGGAGCTGGTGCTGGGTGATGGACCCTGTGTTTAGGTTTATACTCAAGAAGGAACCATCAAAACTGACTCATTGAAATGGACTCTGTCCTGCCCCTCAACTTGGCTGAGGCTGGTGACGTGTTCACAGCTGCGAGGGAAGAGCCGCCCCAGGGCTGGAGGCCTCCCATCTCCGTGAATCCACAGCCCCGGGCTCTGGACCATGCTGCTGCCTGGCTGTGACTCCCCTCAGTGCCTAGGTTGTCTGTGACATTGGTATGAGACTGGGACACCCCCCCACCCCCCCGTAAGCCACTGGGACTTTAACAATTCAGCTCGTAGGATTCTCTGATCTCCAAAATGGAAGAGATGTCCCAGGGTATTTTATTTTACTTTTGCTGATCTGGCGATGATCCAATTCCCATGATCCATTGAGCTCTTTCCAAATGACCTGGACAGAGCAAGGGGTGAGAGAGATGCCGAGGGTGGTGCATGCTCAGGGCCTCTTCTCCGCTGCCTCTCGCAGGCCCCCAGGGGTGAATGACTCAGTTGGTCATACCTGTCACCTCTGCCCTACCCTGTCTCACTGGGTACAGGATGTCTTGTGCCATGTGAGACCGTGGAAAGAGCTCCAGTCCACCCTCCTCTCGCCATCACTGTACAGTGGAGGAAACAGGACTTGCCTCCCTCCCGGGGCCGGGGTGAGGCCCGCGGAGGAGCCCGAGAGCGCGCTGGGGGTGGCTCCTCACCCCGCCCGTCTTGTTTCAGGCCGAGCTGAGGCTATTTCCAGAGAAGATGGCAGCCCATCACACGGCCCAGCTGGAGAGGGCGGAGGACGGGCTGGAATGTGATCCCGAGCAGGAGGAAGAGGAGGAAGAAGAGAAGGGGGACGAGGTGGAGACAGAGAAGGAGGAGAGAGCAGTGGAAGACGAGGAAGAGGAGGACGTGGCGGCGGTGGTACAGGAGCTGCAGGCCAACGGGCCGCAGGCGGGGCAGATAGCGCAGGGGGAGCAGGTGGAGGTGGTGGAGGCCGAGGACGTGGAGGAGGTGGTGGCAGAGGAGCGGAGCCCAGCGTGGGGGACCCAGGAATGCCTTAGCCGTGGGTGTGATGCCAAGTCCCCAGCTCTTCCAGAAAAGGGTAAGAGAAAGGAGCTGGCTCTTGGGGAAGGAAGGAAGGTGGGGGACTTGGGCGGGCAGGCTGGGAGAGCTGTTAGGTCCAACCGGTGGGAGCTGGGATGTCGGGGCCCAGGCTTGGAGGGGAGGGCAGCAGGAGCCCCTGACCCTGCCTGCTGCAGGGCAGCGGTGCCCAGGCGGCGGGGCCCCGGGCCAAGGCAGCTGGCCCCTGAGAGATCTTTCCCTCAGCCCTGCAGGCCTCTCAGGCTCCCGCTGAGCTGAGGGAGGAGGATCTGGAGGACGAGGACGAGGACGAGGAGGAAGAGGACGAGGACGAGGATTTCCTGACAGCTGGGTCTCAAGTGAGCTGTTGTCTCATTTGGAGTTCTGTTAACCAGCCAGGGTTCCCCAGAGGGCTTGGCACCTACTGTCCTGGAGACTCCTGCTGGCAGGGCAGTGGCACCGTGGTCCTCGGGTCAAGCCCAGGCTGTGGAGCCGGGACGTGGCTGCAGAGAGCACCAGGCGTCTCCAGCCCCAAGGCCATGGGGTGTGGTTCTGCTGTCCTGGAACCCACCCCTCCCAGGCCATTGGAATGACCTGAGTGTATTGACCGCCGCCCACTCACCTGCCCTGTGCAGGTTCCTTCAGAAGCCTGGCTCTCCCCTAGGGTCAGGCTGTCCCCCTTACGTGGAGTGCTTGTCACTTGTCCAGGCTCTGGTTTCCTGCTGAGCCCAGTCAGTGCCCACACGTGGGTTAGCTGGTGCCACTTGTCCACCCAACAGTGTGAGGGCCCTCGCTGCTGACGTGACTGCTGGCTTGAGCCAGACGGTGAAGTCCGAGGGGACGAGGCGGCCATACCACAGCCGTCGGGGCTTGAGTGTTGTCGTCCCCTGACCTCCGTGTGGATCGGGCTCTGCCCCACATGAGCTGGGTGTTCACCCTCTCTGAGCCTGGGTTCCTGATCTCTGAATGGGAATGGGGTCCCTGCCTTGAAGGACTGTGGCAAGGCCAGGAAGTCCCCAGTCCTGTTGGGCTTTTGTCAGCCAGCTGGCAATGGGGTTAGGTTGTGTCCCTGTGGGCTCCATGTTTCAGGGCCACAGTCTGTCCTGCTGAGGTCATCTTCCATTGCTCCCTTTGTAGGCCCTGCCCTTCCCCCAGGGCAGTGTAGAGCAGTGACCAGGGCGCTTTGTTTCCCAGGGGCTGGTGACCTTTGAGGATGTGGCTGTGTACTTCTCCCTGGAGGAGTGGGAAAGGCTGGATTTAGAGCAGCGGGACCTGTACAAGGAAGTCATGCAGGAGAACTACGGGGTCCTCGTGTCCTTGGGTAAGCAGAGGCCTTTTGTCCCCAAGAGGCATCCTGGTGCGATGGCTGCCAGGGGCTCATCTGTCTGAGAGGGTCGCAGGGTCTTGGAGAAGCGGGTGCTGGAGCCAGCCCGCCACCCAGGGACAGCCCCGCTTCTGGGTGGGCGGGGTGTCATGGGGGCCCCGCTGTGGCACAGCAGTGCCATGAGCCAGGTGGACATGTTCTGGAGAGCTACCAGGCCTGAAGGGGTGACAGAGGACAGGGGTGGGCACCCTGCAGAAGGTGTGCGGAGGGCTTGGCAGGAGAGCCGGGGGTATCAGGGCAAAGCGCTGGAGAGAAGGGGATCTGGAATTTTCCAGAGTGCAGCAGGGAGGAGGGAGGGCTAGTCCTGGAGAGGACGGAGGAGAGGAGAGGAGCTGGTGGGCGACAGTGCGGAACAGTGTGAGGGCCACAGCCACCTGTTTCTCGCCACACCAGGGTACCCCATCCCCAAGCCAGATCTGATCTTCCGGCTGGAACAAGGAGAGGAGCCTTGGGTGCCAGATAGCCCGCGTCCTGAGGAGGGAGACATTGTCACTGGTGTCTATACAGGTGAGCGTGAGACAGTGTCTCATGGGATCTTTGCCAACACGGCTCCTCAGAGCTTTGCCAGACTTCACCGTCACCTTCGCTCTCTGCTTCGGCCTGGTGCTGGTGGGCTGGGCTGGGGTGGGCTTTGTGGAGAGAGGGTGGCCACCATGGGCTGACCTCTGCCTTCATGGGCTGGCTCCTCTAGGTCTCAGTCTGTGGAGACCTGAGGGCTGGGAGGTCCTTAGAGAAGCTAGAGTTTCCTTTTAGGAGGTTTTAAAAATGACCCCTTGTCCTTGCCTTAGAGCCTCTCAGTGTTTTGTTTATTATTGTTTGTAAATGAGGGCCATTTGTTAAGTTATTGGCTCACGGGGGCTAACTGCAGGTGCAGAGTGGACTGTCGTCCTGGCACTGCACGAGCCGAGCCGGCCCTCTGGCTTCTCCACCCACTGGGCCATCTCCGAACAGCAGGTCCCTCTTAGCCTTCCCTCCGCTCCCCGGAAGGCCCGGAACCAGCCTCTGTCTGGGTGGGCAGCTCTGGATCTTCCAGAGAGAAGATCTTGGAGAGATTCTTACAGGAGGTGCTCAGGGTGGCAGATGTCTCCAGGGACCTGGGACCTGGCTCTGGCTCTGGTTCTGTTCTCCTATCTCTCTGAGCCTAACTTGACTTGTCCGGAGAATAAAGAAGGTGAACCAAATCTGTAGTTTCCAACCTGAGGACGTCGGACTGTTGGTTCTGTGGAGGTGTCTCATCGAGGTCTGTGAGTTATTCTTGGTGTTGCAGAAGGTTCGGGGGAGGCCCTCCCTCAGCACGTGTATTGGGCTTTGGGCTGCAGTGACGCCAGCCTAGTGAAGGTCACGGGATGTCTCATGCCAGTCACGCGCCTGGATAGATTCGGAGTAGCTCATAGACGTGTTTTAAAATAAAAAAATACAGAAAAACACAGACAGTGCTCTGCCTACATGTTTATTCTTCAGAGTATTTCCCCACATACTTTTTATGCTCATAACAGCCCAGTGAACCAGCAGCACGGACATTAGTCTCCCCTCGCACATGCGGAAATTGGCCTTTCGAGGGTGATTGCCTGACTTGCCCGTGCCAGGCTCAGCTTCAGGCCCCACTTTCCGTTGTGTTGCAGGGAGCACTTTCTGCCCAGGTGTCCATTCTCTGGGACCCTCTTGGAATCTTCCCTGGTCTTCAGAATCAGGAGGGCTCTGGCCAGTGAGAAATACTGCCGCTGCCTCCATAATGAGACCGGGATGCCGGTGATGGGTTTCAGAGGGTCTTACAGAGACGTGTCCTGTTCACGGGCACAGCTCAGAAAAGATGCCTGGGGGTGAAGGGCTCACAAGCTGACATTGGCCTGTCTTTTAAAAAAGAAATTCTCACCCGAGGATACTTTTCTCCATATTTATCTTCAGAGAGAGTCGGGGGCAGAGGGAGGGAGAGCGAAAGAGAGAGGCATCGATGTAAGAGAGACACATTGACTGATTGCCTCCCGCATGATCCTGACCAGGGCCGGGGACCAAACCGCAACCAAAGTACGTTCCCTTGGCCGGAATAGAACCTGCGACTCTGGCCCGCAGGCTGACGCTCTACCGCTGGGCCGAATGGCCAGGGCATTGGCCAGTTTTTTGCACGGGGTGTAGATGTGCCCTGTTCTCCGTGGTTCTTCGAGAGTCCTGGGGTGGAGCCACACTGTGCCCGTGAACCAGGCTAGGGGCCTGGAATGCTCTCCACCCCCGCCCCCAGCCCCAGCCATCTGCAGCGTCTGAGGTGCGTAGAATCCAAGCATGGTGTTAGACGTGTCACCTGCTGGCTGGGGTCACTCTTCAGGGTGAGTCCATCTAAGGTCCTTTTTTTTTTTTATCCTCACCCAAGGACATTTTTGCATTTATCTTTAGGTAGAGTGGAAGAGAGCGAGAGAGACATCAATGTGAGAGGACACATCGACTGGTTGCCACCCACATGACCCCAACCGGGGCCAGGGACAAACTGCAACCGAGGTACATGCCCTTATCAGGAACTGAACCCAGGACTCTCCGGTCTGTGGGCCGACGCTCTAACCGCTGAGCCAAACCGGCCAGGGCCTAAGGTCCTCCTTAACCATAACCACAGCCTGTCTGCTAAATGGCCTCACTCCCCTCCCTTCATTTCTGTACAGCTAAGCCAGCTTAAGACGGCTGGGTCTGAGGAGGACAGATGCTGACTGTTCTGAACCCAACAGAGTTTCTGTGTTTCTAGATTGTAGCCTTGCAGAACATAAGCATATCCCTCTATTGTGCATCTTGATAAGTTGGGCCACATCTAAGGCTTGGATTCTGGCCAAATTCTCCCACGCAGGTGGGCTACATCCACTGTTGGACACACACAGCATAACGTGTACATGAGAAAGCATGCAGGTGCTTTGGGACACGTGGGGCCAGGGGTTTTCCCTCTGTTCCCTGTGTGACTTGGTGCTTGCTCCATAAATATTAATTCCCTCCTGGGTGTATCATGATGGCAGGCATACCAGCACTCCCGTGTTACAAAATAGGAAGCTCTGCAGACCTGGCCCCATATCCACACTCTGTGCTGAAGGGAGAGGTTGGGGTGTGGCTTGGTGGAGGGACAGAACAGCAGGAGCTTGAGACTCCTTCTCCTTTGGTGAGAAGTGGCTTGCAGCTCACCTGCAGTCTCAACCAACTAGGGACCATTTCCCAAATGCACAGCTGCTCAGAAAAAGCCAAGCTGGGACATGGCTTACCAGGGAAGCCTGGGCTGTGCCCGCACAGTTGCTGGAGCCTCGAGGTGAGTGGAGAGAGCCCCAGAGTTCCATGGCCCAGGGCGGCCTTTCCTGGTTCTGGTCTGGGGTAGGAGGGAGAGCCCTGGTTGCTGGCCAACCTGAGGCTGGTGGAGAAGAACCCAGAGAGGAAGGAATGCTGAGCAGAGTTTGCAGCAGCAGCTGGTCCCGCAGAAGAGGTTTCCCAGAGCAGAAGCCTGCAAGGGCTCCTGGCACACAGCCTCTCTCAGCTCTCTCCTGGCCTTCCCTTGTTGCCTTCAGGTGCCTGGTTCTGGACCGACGACATGGAGGACCACGAGGAGGAAGATGATGAGGACTTCCTGGCAGAGGTGACCGAGGAAGAGAATGAGCCCCCCGGGTTGTGGTCAGCGGCCTATGGTGTGGGGGACGTGCCTGGGACGTGGGGCCCGGATGACTCGGATTCGGTGCAGACTCCAGAGGGCTGGGGGCTCGACCCAGGCGGCCTCGGGGCCCTGGCCGAGGGATCGGAGGTGAAGCCCTTTCTGCCAGACCAGGAGCCAGGCGTGAACCTGCTGGCGCCTTGGGTGTTCCCAGCTGAAGTGGCTGCTCAGGCAGGGAGACCCGAGACCACGTGCGACGTGTGCGGCAAGGTGTTCCCGCACCGGTCCCGGCTGGCTAAGCACCAGCGCTACCACGCGGCCGTCAAGCCCTTCGGCTGTGACGAGTGCGGCAAGGGCTTCGTGTACCGCTCGCACCTGGCCATCCACCAGCGCACGCATACGGGCGAGAAGCCCTTCCCATGCCCGGACTGCGGCAAGCGCTTCGTCTACAAGTCTCACCTGGTCACGCACCGGCGCATCCACACGGGTGAGCGGCCCTACCGCTGCGCCTTCTGCGGAGCGGGCTTCGGCCGCCGCTCCTACCTGGTCACGCACCAGCGCACGCACACGGGCGAGCGGCCCTACCCGTGTCCGCACTGCGGCCGCAGCTTCAGCCAGAGCTCGGCGCTTGCGCGGCACCAGGCAGTGCACACAGCCGACCGGCCGCACTGCTGCCCCGACTGCGGCCAGGCCTTCCGCCTCCGTGCGGACTTCCAGCGCCACCGGCGCGGCGGCGGCTGCTCCGAGCCCGGCGGTGACGGCCCTCGGCGGGAGCCCTGTGACGCGGTGCCCGCAGCGGGGCCCGAGGAGGCTGAGGCCGGGCAGGAGGGGCCTGAAGTCAGTGAGGTGGACGGAGAGGCCGAAGCTGAGGCCGAGGCCGAGGCCAAGGCCAAGGCCGAGGCGAGAGAGGAGGTTGCAGCTGCAGCGGAGGCGCCCACCCCCGAGACCAAGGAGAACCCTGAGCCGGACAGGCGGTTCCTAGGGCTGGGCAACGGCCTAGGCGAGGGCGAAGGCCCCTCCTCGCACCCGCTTGGCTTCCACTTTCCCGTTCACCCCAAGTCTTGGCTCCATCCGGATGGCTTCCCGATCCTGGGCCTCCCGGACTTCAGGGAGCGGCTGCCGGCCGATGGGCGCCCCCTGTCGGGACCACTGGGGGGCCGGCTCTCCCTGGTGGAGGGCGCAGGGCTGGCCAGCGACCCTTTCCGCGGTGGCGGGCCTGGGGGCGGCGGCGGCGGGCTGCGCGCATTCGGGCCGGCCGTCGGGGGGCTGCTGACTGAGCCGGCTCCCGCCTCCCTGGCCGAGGAGGAGAGCCCGTGGATCTGCTCCGATTGCGGCAAGACGTTTGGGCGCCGTGCCGCCCTGGCCAAGCACCAGCGCTACCACGCGGGCGAGCGGCCGCACCGCTGCGCAGACTGCGGCAAGAGCTTCGTGTACGGCTCGCACCTGGCTCGCCACCGGCGCACGCACACGGGCGAGCGGCCCTTCCCCTGCCCCGAGTGTGGCGCGCGCTTCGCCCGCGGCTCGCACCTGGCGGCCCACGTGCGCGGCCACACCGGCGAGAAGCCCTTCGTGTGCGGCGTGTGCGGCGCGGGCTTCAGCCGGCGCGCACACCTGACGGCGCACGGGCGCGCGCACACCGGCGAGCGGCCCTACGCTTGCGGCGAGTGCGGCCGGCGCTTCGGGCAGAGCGCGGCGCTGACGCGACACCAGTGGGCGCACGCGGAGGAGAAGCCGCACCGCTGCCCCGACTGCGGCAAGGGCTTCGGCCACAGCTCGGACTTCAAGCGGCACCGGCGCACGCACACGGGCGAGAAGCCCTTCCGCTGCTCCGACTGCGGCCGCGGCTTCGCGCAGCGCTCCAACCTGGCCAAGCACCGGCGCGGCCACACGGGCGAGCGGCCCTTCCCGTGCCCCGAGTGCGGCAAGCGCTTCTCGCAGCGCTCCGTGCTGGTCACGCACCAGCGCACGCACACGGGCGAGCGGCCCTACGCCTGCGCCAACTGCGGCCGCCGCTTCTCGCAGAGCTCGCACCTGCTCACCCACATGAAGACGCACCGCGGCGCTGCGGGCGCCCCCGGGCCCGCGGCCGCCGCCCCCGCGCCCAAGGCCGAGGTGCCTGCCAAGGGGCCGCCCGGCGCCAGTGCGGGCGCCCGGCCGGGGGAGCGGGGCAGCACCCTGCTGGAGTTCGCGGGCGGCACGAGCTTCGGCTCGGAGCCCACGGCCACGTTCGCGGGGCCCTCGGGCGCCTACGGGCAGAGCGTCCTCTGAGGCCCGAGGCCGCCGGCCCCTCCCCAGGGCGGCTAGGGTGCCGGCCGCTTCTCGCCAGCCCCTTACCCCTCCGGCCTCTCTGGGTTGAGGGTCCTAGCCCTGGTGCCGTGCCTTCCCTCAGCCCCTGGCCTCAGGCTTCCCTCCTGCCCGCCCGCCCAGCGTGTGAGGGGGCGCAGGTGGCGAGGGGAGCCGCGGGGGAGGCGAGGGCCAGGCGGCCACCCCGACAAAGACTACAACATCCCTGGTTGGTGCTGTGAAGCCAAGTGGGGGGGCTGTCAGGCCATGTTATTTATTTTATTCGGTTTCTGACTTGGTAGCCCTCGGGACAGGTGGCCGATAAGTCTGCATCCGGGTCTTACAGCGAGGGAGGGGGAGCCCTTTTGTCAAGGAGAGGGTGGGGCGGTGGAGGGCCGAGCCTGGGCTACTCTGCGGGTTTGCTGACGACTTCCTCCGTCCCCCAGTGGGAGACAGGGATCTTCTGGTCATTCGAGTACCTCCGGGAAATTTAAGACTGTGCGTGGGGAAGCAGGGGAAGACCGTGGGTTACCAAGGGACAACGCTTGTCCCTAACCCGAGGGATGGAAACGCAGCCGGGAAGCTTTGGTTCTGACTGGCTATTTCTTGCCATCTCTTGTACGGCCTGAGGAGTGGAGTGGAGGAACAAAAGCCAGAAACCTGATCTGTGGCCCTGGGTGGGCAGGCTGCAGGTGTTCGCAGGCCCCCAGGGAGTTTAAAGCCTTATTCTTGGGAGTCCCCCCACTCTCTTCACCCCACTTGAGCACCGAGATGGGTCAGGTGCTAGTTGTCCCGGTCGTTTTAGTCTCAGCCTTCCCTTTGGGCTTTTTAGTACTCACCTCTGGCACTGGAGGTGGCACTCAGAGATCCTTGGGGGCCCTGGGCCCCAGCCTTCAACCCCCTGGACTGCCATCTCTCCTGGAGCAAGTGGACACATGAGGCCCAGTCCTTCTGAGCCCCATGCTCACTTACATTTAATAACCAAGTGTAAAGTTACTGAGGCAGGATCATTTCTCATACCCACAATCAGGGCCCTATGACAACTGCAGGTCCCTTTAACTCTGCTTCTGTCATTATTCTACACCAGAAGCAGTTTTTCTGCTTAGATTCCCATTTCACAGAGCAGGCAGTCTGCACAGTGGTGGTCCGCCTCTGGGGGCGTGGACATGGACCCCTGGTCCCACAACAAACCAAGAACCCAACTATGCAAGGCCCACACCCTCCCCTCCAGGCTGGGCTGTTGGGAACCACTGGGCAGCACAGCTCATGTGAGAACCCTCCCATCATAACGCCTCTTTGGCCAGTGTGAGTGGGGCCAGAAAACCGATTTTGAAGCAACTGCATTCCCTTTTAGACCTAGTTCCTTCTGTTTTAGTGTAGACATGGCCTTGGGGCCTGAGAGCCAGCAGCTGAGCTGCTGGGAGCTGGGAGTAGGAGGCACAGTAGTCAGTGGGTGGGAAAAGGGCCTGGATGGTGGTGGTATGAATTAGCCTGGCTGGGTGAGAGGGTGGGGTGGAATGGTAAGGAGGGTAGGGTTTCTGGTCCCTGGTCTCTCCTCTCCCTGTGGGTCAGGAGCCTCAGAAAGAGCCAAGGGCAAGGTGGGCTGGCCCCGCATGGCTGGGGTCTGGCTCCGGGCTGGCCCTCCTGGCACAGCCTTGAATACATACCTTCGGTGCCCCTCCTGGGCCCAGCTGCTTCTGCCTTGCTCCGAGCGGTGGGCAGGAGGACCTAGCTTTAATAAAGACTGGAGAAACGAGCTTTCTGACTGAGTCCCATGTTGTTGCCACTCCTTGCTGCCCTCGGGGAGGCTCTGCAAGGCCTCGGCCCATCTGGTTTCGGCAAACATTTTTTAGGAGTTTTTCTTTTAGGAGACTAGTATTGGTCCATGAGGAATCAGCCCAAGGTGAGCTTTGTCCCTGCTGTCTGTGTCCACCAAGTGTTTCTGGGAGTCCCCACACTGCCACATACTCCCGTAATACACTCAGCTGTATGGGACAGTAATGTGTTCAGGATTGTTTTGGCCAGCCTTCCCATGGTCCCCTTCCCGGTGGTCCAGAAATGTGCCTGAGTCACGGACCCCCTCCTCGGAGGCCCCAGTGCCATGTACATTTATCCAGGCTTCCCTGCTCTGTGCCAGGGCAAAGTGGGACTCCCCTACCTTTGAACTGATTTATTGACTTCACAGCCCATGGTGTCCCCACAACCAGATCAGACCCCCCACATTCTTTTTCTATGGACTTAGGAACAGTGTAGTAAACTCTTTTCAAATGTGATTTGGGGGCATCAGAACAGAACCCAATATTTCAGATTCAATAAAGACCTAGTCAAAAAAGGATAGCCTTGAGGATCTTAAAGTCTATTTGGGAAAGCTCAATTATTCCCTGGTAGAGCTTACCATTGTCCAGCCAAAAAAAAAATAAAAATTTAATCTTAGGGGAGAAAAACCTCTGGATGGTCATAGAAGAAAAGGATGCAGCCTTCGGGGTTGGAGAGGACTTCCACATTTCTGGAGTCCTGATTCATTCTGCAAGTGTCAGTTTAGCATCTCCCATCATTGCCCAGGAGGGATGGATGCCTGCGAAATGTGACCCATGAAAGGTGGTACTTCGAGAGTCACCAGGCCCTGAGCACCCTTCTGGCCACCTACATTTGTGATTTTCCTGTTCTCTGTTGCTCACATTTCCCCCACCTCCTTTCTTTCTCCTCCCCTTCCACTTAATCTCTTCAAACATTTCCTCCTAACTCTTTTTTCCTTTCTCTCATTGGCTATATATCGAATAAAGTATTTTGAAATTTTGGGTTATATTTATTAAATAAAGCTTCATGATACTGGTTCATTATTTAATTTTTTTTTCTCGATTACGAAATACATATTAGTTGTAAGAATTCTAACAGCACAAAACTTTGTTAAGTACAAACACGTTTCATGTCCTAAAATGTCATACCACGAACAGCCACCGGGCGACACAGTTTCTGCAGGACATGTGGGAGCACATTTCTTCTATGTACATGGAAATATTTTAAAACTAGGAACCTACTTGGCATATTCTCTTGCAACTTGCTTTTATCATTTAACATATATCATGACATTCTTTTCTACCTGACAGAGCTACCTCACTCATTGTAACTGCACCATCACAGTGTTTCATTCTACGCGTGTATCACAATTTATGTCACTCCTCTGTCAATGGGGATTTGGGTTCCAATGTCTCACTATTATAAACAATGCTGCAATGTGGATTCTTGTACATACATACACCTTTGTACAGTTATGCAGATTTTAATATATCTGTCTATGTTGCTGGGTCAAAGGGCATGCATATTAACATTTTTGGATATAACTACATTGCCACCATGAAAGGCTAACTCCAGTCCAACAGCATATTCTCCAGTGCAGTGAGGAGGTGCTGTTGGTCCATGGCCTCAACGACACAGGACATCAACAATTGTTTGAATCTTTGTTCATTCCAGAGAGGTGAATGGCTTGCATTTCTCCATTTCTTTTTATTTATTTATATATTTTTTATCCTCACCCAAGGAAATTTTGTTGTTGTTGTTCAGATAGAGTGGGAGGGAGAGAGAGGAAGAGAGAGAGAGAGAAACATCAACATGAAAGGGACACATCGAGTGGTTGCCACCCGCACGACCCAACCAGGGCAGGGGACAAACTGCAACCAAGGCACGTGCCCTTAGCGGAAACTGAACCCAGGTCTCTGGACCGCAGGCCGACACTCTAACCACTGAGCCAAACCGGCCAGGGCTCCATTTCTTTTTAACATGTAGATACACTACAGTGTTTAAAAAACTCAGGGCCTTTGCCAAGTATTTCTGTGGCTATGGCTATAAAATATCCCCACTTAGGCCAAACATTCTGGTATGAATAGAAGTCTCAGGCTTACCTTAAAATTTCCTCCCCGAAACCTCTAATCAGCCAGTTCTCCAAGGATCCCTGATTCCTTTAGTGGAAAATATTTAGAGACCACAATTTGGGTGCTGGGGTGCTTAATGCCATTGGGTTGATTTTTCCCCCTGAGGAAAATAAACAATTTTCTATCTAGAATTCTATATCCAGCCAAGCTATTCTAGCTATGAGGACAATATTTTTAGTCGTGAAAAAGTTCAGGAAATTTACCACCCATTAATTGATTACTAGCAGGCATATCAGAAAGTGGGAGGATCAACCAAGAAAGAAGATTTGGGATGTAGGAAATAGTGCAGCCAGTCCAGGAGAAAGCTGTCCAGAATGACTGCTATACTTCAGTCCCATTCGAGTAAGAGGATGGGCAGCTTCAGGGAGGGGGCGCTGATAGGGTGGAAAATATGACTGAGAGGTTGGGCATGGAAGGGCAGAGCTGTAGTTAAAGGCAGGTCAGGAGGTAAAAACTGACCTCAGCTTGGAACAGCCAACGTGGGGCTTCTCAGAGCCATTAAGTGAACCGTTTCCAGGCACAAATTGGGTCAGGGAGGAACCAGGGTCTTCCTCCCAACTTGAGACATAGACTGAATGTTGATGCCCCTCCCATGTCTGACCACCGTCAGGTGAGGCTCTGTGCAATTTTTGTTCTGTAATTTTTAAACAAATGTCTTTATTTTTATCTTGGACCATTCTTTTTTTTTTTTTTTTTTTTGCATTTATTTTCAGATAGAGCGGGAGGGAGAGAGGAAGAGAGAGAGAGAAACATCAACATGAGAGAGACACATCGAGTGGCTGCCACCCACACAACCCCAACCAGGGCTGGGGACAAACTGCAACCGAGGTACATGCCCTTAGCGGGAACCGAACCTGGGCCTCTCTGGTCCGTGGGACGACGCTCTAACCACTGAGCCAAACCGGCCAGGGCTTGGACCATTCTTTTTTTTTTTTATCCTCACCCGAGGACATTTTTTCTATTTTTTTGTTCAGGTAGAGTGGGAGGGAGAGAGAGGAAGAGAGAGAGAGAGAGAGAAACATCGACATGAAAGGGACACATCGAGTGGCTGCCACCCGCACGACCAACCAGGGCCGGCGACAAACTGCAACCGAGGTACATGCCCTTAGCGGGAACCGAACCCGGGTCTCTCGGGACCGCAGGCTGATGCTCTAACCGCTGAGCCAAACCGGCCAGGGCTTGGACCATTCTTAACATACTTATTTAAGTTTCTGCCATATTGTTCCAAGAACTTAATTTCTATCTGGAGTGAATTCATGCTTTGATTGGTAAATAAGATTTCTTCATGTTTTGGAAGCCTACTTTGCAGACAGGCTCATCTTGATTAGGAGGGTTATTTTTTATTTTTATTTTTGGGGGCCAGTGTTTCGGTTTTATTCTTTTCCCCCCGTCCAGCAGTCCAGCAGTTGTTGGTTACCTCTGCGGTAACCAGGAGACGTGGTAACAGTGCTCTGGGATGCTGCTCTGTAATGGTACCAGGCATGCTGCTGACCCAGGGAAGAAGGCAGCACGTGTCTGGCCTGGACTCCCCATCATAAAGGTAGCTCTTAGTCCCCTTTGCCCACCTTCCTAGGTCCTCAGCTTCTTATAATCACAGGTCCTAGCAGCAGGGGGCAGCCCTGTTCCCAGTTCTGTTTCACCCAGCGAGCCCGCCTTTGGCTCTTCTTCACCAGGATCTCTTAAAGTGTCCTTTCTCCCCAGAACTGAGCTCCCAGCCCCCCTCACCCCATTCATTTCCAAACCTAGAGCCCAGGAGGCCTTTGCTTCTAACCACTCACATAGTTTTTGCTGATTTTTGGTTTCTGGAGATGTTTACCTTGCGTTATGAGCCTCTTTTTGAGACTTTTACATTTTCTACTTACAGGTGTTATCTTTCACTGCTTTTTTATTGAAGCAGGAATGTGTAGGTAGAAGTGGCCGATTAGATGTAAGATCTTTTTGTGAGGCTTCCAGGAAAGCTTTTGTGTGTGTGTGTGTGTGGGGGGGGGGTTAATTCTCGCCCAAGGGTATTTTCCCATTGAGTTTTAGATAGAGTGGGAGGGAAGGAGGGAGAGAAGGGGGGGGGGCATCGTTGGTTGCCTCCCATACAGTGGGGGGACCAGGGCCAGGGATTGAACCTGCAACCTAGGTATATGGCCTTGATAGGGAATTGAATCTGCAACCCTTTGTTCTGTGAGCCTACGCTCTAACCGCTGAGCCAAACCAGCCAGGGGCGGGAAAGCTCTTTAAAAGAAGCCAATTCACTTGGGCTCTTGCAGTAGACTCATATGAAGATTCCTTTTCCTTTTTTTAAATTGTAAAATTTATGTAACATAAAAATAACCATGTTGAAGTGCACAGTTCAGTGACATACGGTTCTAATCCAAAACATTTTCACCACCTGGAAAGGAAATTCTAAAATTTTACTAATGCGAATTTGCTTTCGAATTTTGAAATCTTGAATCCACATAAAATGTATTTAATATGTGAGCTAGGGCCCTGGCCAGTTTGGATCAGCGGTTGGAGTGTCAGCCTGTGGTCCAGAGAGACCTGGGTTCGGTTCCTGCTAGGGGCGCGTGCCTTGTTGCGGTTTGTCCCGGGCCTTGGTTGGTCCTGCGGGTGGCAGCCACTCGACGTGTCCCTTTCACGTCGATGTTTCTCTCTTCATCTCTCTCCCACTCTATCTGAACAAAAAATGGAAAAATGTCCTCGGGTGAGGATAAAAATATATATATAAATAAATATATATAAATATAAAACCCTAATTGTACTGGAGAGTGGTCACTGGTGGAATATAGGTATTACATATGTATGGAATGTATGGAATACCTTATTCTCCCACAATGCCAAAGGCTCTGTTGTCATTTGGTAAAAAGTTAAGTTCCATTTGTCCCAGGCCTGTTCTCTGGCTCTTCGTGATCCTTTTTAACTTTTTCTTTATGGTAAAAACGTCAGAAAGATGCATACTTTCCGGTTCACACAGTCATCTCTGGGGGAATGTGTGACATATTCTTTTTATTGTTTTTGTTGGTGTGCATTTCGACCTACTTCCAATTTTCGTGTATTGCAATCTAAATTTTGCCCCCGGCCCTTATTTCTTTATCATTCATGTTTTTTAAAATTGCTTGGCTGTGCTAATTTGATTAAATTTTTCATCTGTGTTCCAGAATCTCTCTCCCTTGCTTGGCGGCTGTGAGGAGGCCCCTCATCCCAGGGGCCGGAGTCCCCAAGAGCCGGGACTGGGGGTGACGAAGGGGAGGAGCGAGGTGAACGAAGTGGGGTGTGGGGCGGAGGGGTGATGTGAGGTTGAGGGGTACAGAGAGGGTCCTGCGCAGGCCCCGCCCACGTGTGGGCGGAGCCTCCCTCAAGGTCTGCTTCACGCACAGCCCGGGGCGCGTCGAGCTCTGTGCGCAGGCGCGCGTCGCGTCTCCGCGGGGCGTCCCGGTGGGCTCGGGCCTCCCTCGGCGCTGTCACGCGTGGGGCGGGCGTGGGGCCTGGACGGCAGGCGGCAGGAGGCTACGGGGGCCGTGTCCACACTGAATAGGGGGCCGAGCAAATGCGCTGCAGGTGCCGCGGGGTCTCCAGTCTCATAACCGCCGAGGCGCCAGAACGCCGGCCCAGAGGACGGAGGACGGCCCGGGGCCCCGCCGGCTAGGGAGGTGAGGGTGACCCGGGGTGCGCCCTGCCCTGGGCGCTGCGGCACTCGGGTGGCGCCCCTTCCTCTCTTAAATTTACTTTTTTATCCTCACCCAAGGACATTTTTGCATTTATTTTCAGAGTGGGAGGGAGGGAGAGAGAGAGGGATAAACATCCACGTGAAAGGGACACATCGAGTGGCTGCCACCCGCACAACCCCAAGGGCCGGGACAAACCGCAACCGAGGTCCGTGCCCTTCGCCGGGCCGAACCGGGTCTCTCTGGTCCGCTGGCCGAGCTCTAACGGCTGAGCCAAACTGGCCAGGGCTGGCGCCTCCTTCCTAAGTCCCCAAATGCACACCCGAAGTGTGTGTGCCCAAGGCCTGCCAGGCCGGTTGAGTCCGGAGGCTCCTTTGAGCTTCCTGCGGCCCTGTGGACATCCCGCCCGTGGCCCTCCCGCCCGTGGCCCTCCCGCCCGTGGCCCTCCCGCCCGTGGCCCTCCGCCCGTGGCCCTCCCGCCCGTGGCGCTGCGCGGGCCTGCGGAGCTGCCGGCCCTTAAGGAACAGCCGCACCCGAGGGCGCGCTCCACTGGCGCCGCTGCCGTCCCCAGCCTCCTGCTTTGCGCTTGGGGAAGGGCCGCCTGAGCATTCTGGCAGCTGCGTGTTACTAGACAGGCAGACCTGGGTCCCCTGGTGAAGGTTCCAGCTAAAGTGAATTTGTCCCCTAGGCTCTGCTGGGACCAAGCAACTCGACTGAGGCCAGAAGGAAGGGGCTTCAGGAACCGGACTTTCACCAGGAAGAAACCCTCCTCTCCAGCCCGCCATCAATCAGAGCGTCAGAAGAGGCGGCAGAAACCCAGAAAAGGAGCCTGTCGCTTCGAGGGGCCAAGGCTTGAACGATTTCACCATGTTCAGAAGCTGTGAGTCACTTTGCAGCAGAAAGAAGGGAACTGGGACCGAGAAGGGTGGCTAGGGACACCTGGTGGAAAGGTCACCTTATGGACGTTGGGATGCTGGAGGATTCCAGAGCTGGGAAGCATCTGTCTTCGACCCCCGCCCCCACCCGGCACCCTCCCCTCCCTTTATTCTCCACTGATTCTTTCCAGAAGCTGAGCAGCTTTCTAACCAGTCGTCAGCATGTCAGCATCTGGCTGTGCTGCTGTCTTTCATCTTACCGGGTGGAGAGTAGTCAGGGAGGGTTTGCAGGGTTACTGATTCCGTCTCATTTGAGAAGGAAAAGAGAATGTGAAAGGAGACATGACTCATCCAGGACCAATGAGAGGCAAATGGGGAAAGTCAGTTGCCAACTGCTGTCTTGGTGTCATCCACGCAATCAGACTGAAGCAACTTTCCTCTTAAAAGGTCCTTTTGAGAAACAGCAGTTGAGTTTTTTTGTTTGTTTGTTTTTTTTGTTTGTTTTTTATCCTCACCCGAGGACATTTTTCCATTTTTGTACAGACAGAGTGGGAGGGAGAGAGAGGAAGAGAGAGAGAGGGAAACATCGAGTGGCTGCCACCCGCACGACCACCCAGGGCCGGGGACAAACTGCAACCAAGGTACATGCCCGTAGCGGGAACCGAACCCAGGTCTCTCCGGACCGCAGGTAGACGCTCTAACCGCTGAGCCAAACCGGCCAGGGCAGCAGTTGAGTTTTTAAAGAGACCTTTGTTTAAGGCACCTAGCCCCCTTTCCAAAACTTATGAGGATTCTTGGGTAACAATAGACGTACAAAATAAACCATGTAGGTTTTCCCTCCGGAAATCAGTTTCTTTTTCTTTTTAAAATTTTTCTTCATTGATTTTATTTCATTTTATTTTGATAGAGGGTGATATGATCAAATTGTGTGTGTTTATTTTATTTTATTTTTGTTACAGATGTTTCTCCTTATATTCCCCATTGACACCCTCCTCCCCATCCCCCCACCCCGTCTTCAGCTTGGTTGTCCATGTCCACTGGTTATGCGTATACATGCATATAAGTTCTGAGGTTTATTTCTTCTCTCCCCTCACCACCCCCTCTTCTTCTTTATTGATTTTAGAGAGAGAGGAAGGGAGAGGGAGAGAGATAGAAACATCAATGAGAGAGAACATCGATTGGCTGCCTCCTGCACGCCCCCACTGGGGGTTTGGTCCACAACCTGGACATGTGCCCTGACTGGGAATCAAACCAGTAACCTCTTGGTGCATGGGTCAACACTCAACCACTGAGCCACACTGTCCGGGCCAAATATTCGTTTCAATGATGACATCATATTTCATCTTTTGAGATGCTATTATCTGCCTTGATACTTCAGTTTTAAATGTGTCTGTGTTAGTGAGAAGGGGGCATAAAGAGTTAAAGGAGTTGTGAACACTGCAGGTTTAAAGAGTCACAAAGAGACGGATGTTACCGTCTTCTCCGCCAAGGTTGAAGGTTACCAGCTGGTGTGTAGAAGTTTGTAGGGGGACATTCGAGGGGCTGCAGGGCCAGTCTGCTTTCATTCTGTTCCTCTTTCCTCCTCTTTCCTCCTCTTCCAGATACGCCTTCCCAGGTTTCCACCCTCTTCTGAGAACAGGCAATGAACAAGCCCCAGGTGAGTGGCTTCTTTTCTTGATCCCTTACTTTATTTACCAGTGGAATTCATGGCTTTTGGAAGTGTGTTTGTATGCCAAGATGGAAAAGTAGAAATAGATAAAAAGGCTACTTCCGGGAAAATGAAGTGAGTGAGTGGCACCTGACTAGCAGGCAGAGGTGACTGTCCTCTGCAGGTCACGCGGTCCTACCTCCACCAAAGGTGAGCAGCGCCTTTGTCTTTGACCTACACAGGATTTTCACTGACCACAAAGAGAAGTCAGCCAGGTATTCCCGGGACAGATAGACTTCCTGGCACTGGAGTCTGGAAAAAATGCCTTTGGAGGTGTTCATCAGTGAAGAACCAGTAATTGTTCTTTATTGGAAGTAGAGGGCAGAACTCAGTGGGGTTTTACTAGGGACCAAAGCAGTCACTGCCCTCAGCCCTGCTCTCCTGTTACACTGTGGGTTTCTCACGCCTCTGACGTTGCTTATGCGCTGGTACCACCTTAGTGAAGATCCGCTATTCACAGAGGCCTTGCCTGATAATACAAACCAGAACTATCTTTTCTGCCGTTGTTTAACACCAGCTAGAATGACTCTAGCATAGCTCTCACAATACCTTATTACAGGGGAAATGTTCACAAATAGGGTTGTCTCCTTACTAAGATGTAAGCTCCTTAGGGCTGAAGAAAGGGATTGATTTAGCTCAGTATTCCCGGCCAGCTGGGAGTTTCAGACACATGGTAGGAACTTTCTTTTTTTGATTGTTTGTTTGAATTAATAAGTTAATACACTGCCTGGGTTTTCCTATCAGGATATCACTCTATCCCACAAAGTAAAATAAAACATGGTATAGAATAGACGACCTATATAATATTGATGGTAAACTCTCAACATAAACATGTTAAGAATTATTTTCCAGCCCTGGCCGGTTTGGCTCAGCAGTTAGAGCGTCGGCCTGCGGTCCAGAGAGACCTGGGTTCGGTTCCCACTAAGAGCACGTACCTTGGTTGCAGTTTGTCCCCGGCCCTGGTTGGGTCGTGCGGGTGGCAACCACTCGATGTGTCCCTTTCACATCAATGTTTCTCTCTCTCTCTCTCCCTTCCACTCTATCTGAACAAAAAAATGGAAAAATGTCCTCAGGTGAGGATAAAAAAAATAATTATTTTCCAGGTGTCTCTCGCATGCCACCCAATATTGATCTCTTTGGCTTGAACAGCAATGTGTTGATTAGGGATCTGTGTTATTCAAGGATGTCACTGTGAGCTTCATCCGGGATGAGTGGCTACAGCTGACCCGTGTGCGGAGGACCCTGCACCGGGGACGTGATGTTGGAGAACGACGACCACCTGGTCTCCGCAGGTGAGGAATTTTCCCTGTGCAATGCCTCACAGCAGGTGTTTCTTTTCCTTTCCATCTTAGCTGCCCACCTGTATGGGCCTGTAGAGGAGGTTAACCTTTGTGTGTACATCGAGCACAGAAAGAATGTTTGTGTTCTCACCTCCCTAATGAGGCGTTCAGATGGGCACCTTTATCACGACACCTTCCTCGTCCCTCAGGGGCCCCAAGAGCCAAGCAGCTTGTCAGAGGTCTGACCCCGTGTCTCACTCACAGGGCATTGCATCACCAAACCAGAGGCGATCTGCAAGCTGGAGCAAGAAGAGGGCTCGTGGCCATTGGAGGGAGGATTCCCGGGTTGGAGTGGTCCAGGTGAGTCAGTCATTACCAGAAGAAAAAGAGAAGCCAGTGGAAATCAGGCCCCAGACGGCTGGTTCAGAGGTTGGAGCCTTCCATCTGGAGCTTAGTAATTCTGTTTAGGGCCCTCAGACCTTCGGAAGTAACCCAACAATGAGCCCACACACTTCGGATGACCCAAAGCACACTGCCGTCTGTCCCTCAAATGCAGTGCTCTCCTGTTCTGCCCAACTTCTAGGGAAGCGGACCATTCTTGTGCCCAGTGTTGAACCCCCGCCTGCCTCAGCTCAACCCTTGTTCTTGGTTTCTCTTTCTCTAGTATTTTCCCTCCATTTTCATCGAGTATTTTTTTTAACCCCCCCCCCCCCCCGCAAAGGCTTTCACTCATTCATTCTGCAGATATTTCTAATATGTGCCATGTACATTTTGGTGGTGGGGACGTGCCTGTAAGCAAACGGTATCCCTGAGCTCCTGGAGCTCACAGGCCAGCAGGAGAGCCGGCGTCGTAACCCAGCTTTCTTATCAAGTGGTGACTAACCACGAAGAGAATGAAAGCCACTGGCTGGAGACAGAGGTGGGGTGTGCTCCCTGCAAAGGTCAGAGAGGGCCTTTGGACAAGATCAGCATTAGAGCAGGTAGCTGAACGAAATAAGGAGGTGAAGCACAGGGACTGTGGGGGTCCCGGGCAGAAGGAGCCCGTTCTCATGGCCGGAGGCAGCTGTCGGTGCTGGCTACACGGCTGCGGTAATTCAGAGGGTGCTGCTGGTGTGAAAATCGATGGAGCAGAAATAAGATCCCAGAACCAGCTCCACACGTGTGGAGATCAGAGACGTGAGAGAACAGGCAAAGGGGAGGTTATTCAATAAGTGATGTTGAAATGGTTATTTATCCTCATGGGGGAAAACATTCTGCCTTTACCATTACACAAAAGTGAATTTTAAAAAAACATGTTGCCCTGGCCAGTTTGGCTCAGCGGTTGGAGCATCCACCTGCGGTCCGGAGAGACCCGGGTTCGGTTCCCGATAAGGGCATGTATTTTGGTTGCAGTTTGTCCCCGGCCCTGGTTGGTCGTGCGGGTGGCAGCCACTCGATGTGTCCCTTTCACATCGATGTTTCCCTCTCTCTCTCTTCCTCTCTCTCCCTCCCATTCTGTCTGTACAAAAAATGGAAAAATGTCCTCGGGTGAGGATAAAAAAAAAACCACATGTTATATTTATGTTATATACATTCATTAAATTAATACAAATTCAGTTTTATTTATTATTATTTTTTAGTCCTCACCCAAGGCATTTTTGCATTTATCTTCAGATAGAGCAGGAGGGAGAGAAAGGGGAAGAGAGAGAAAGAAACATCAATGTGAGAGAGACACATCGACTGGTTGCCACGCACACAACCCCAACCAGGACCGGGGACAAACTGCAACTGAGTTATGTGCCCTTATGGCCCTGGCCAGTTTGGTTCAGGAGTTAGAGCATTGGCCCGGGCCTGGGTTCAGTTCCTGCCAAGGGCACGTACCTCGGTTGCAGTTTGTCCCCACCCCGGTTGGGTTCATGTGGGTGGCAACCAGTTGATGTGTCTCTCTCACATTGATGTTTCTCTCTCTTCCTACCTCTCTCCCTCCCACTCTATCTGACGATAAATGCAAAAAAAAAAAGGCCTCGGGTGAGGATAAAAAAAAAAAAGTAAAATATGTAAAACTTGTATAAGAAAGTACAGAAAGTACAGTGGAATATGTTTATAATTACATAGAATGGAAAACATTATGATATTGTTATATAGGTATCATTATCTATATACAATCCTTACGAAAGGATTTCCCCAACGGCATACATACTATTTATAGAAGAAAAGTAGATTAATTATGTTAAGAGGATTCAGTTATCACAGAACACCATAAAAAATTTCAAAAGACATGGCATGCAGTGAGAGAATTAGTTATAATACATATAACCAGCAAAAGTTTAATATCTAACATACATTGACAGCTTTTCTGAAATAAGATGTTTTACATTATTCCTTTGACTTAATTTCTGCTTCCTCCCACTAGATGTAAACCTCACAAGAACAGAATTTGTGTTCATGTCTGTGTCTCCACTGTCTGGGGTAGTGCCAGCCACATTTTAGCATTTGATAAAAGTTTGTTGAATGATGAAATCCTACAAGTTGATAAGAAATAGTAAAACCACCTGACAGAAGAGGGGACAAAAGGCGTACTCAAAGAGGAGGCACGGACAGGAAACAAGCACAAATGATACAATATCTACAATTTCACTGGGACAATGAAATAGCAAATTTGGCAAAAATTAGACAGCTTACAGCCCGGCTGGTGTAGCTCAGTGGTTGAGCATCGACCCATGCACCAAGAGATGGCCAGTTCGATTCCCAGTCAGGTTGTGGGCCAAATCCCTAGTGGGGGGCATGCAGGAGGCGGCCATTCGATGTTCTCTCTCATCCATGTTTCTATCTCTTTCTCCCTCTTCCTTCCTCTCTCTCTCAGATCAATAAAGAAAAAAAAAAAAAAAAAGACAGCTTCCAATACCGAGCAGTTATGATCACATGATCACCGTCCTGGGAACAGTCTGTCGAGACTGGGTCTCCTCATGTTCCTTCTCTGATGGATGCTCCAGCGCCCCAGCCATCTGGAGATTTGAGCACTCTACTGTCCTTGAGGTCTGAACAATCCCCACCTTCTCTGTCCTGTCTTAGTCTCATCTGCAGCCCACTCTCCACTTGATCTGCAGCACTTGTCCTTTCCTCCTCAACGTGGCAGAAACTAGCCCCGAGTCATTTCCTCCGCGGTGTCAGTTCCCACCCCTTGTTTCCACTTCAGGAGGCTCTTTCCCGTGTCTGACAGCATCTAGTCAGGATACTGATCTCTTCATAGTTTCTCTTACTTTCTAGTTTCCTTCTGTAGCTTCTATTCTTACCTTCCCGTGACCTCACTGAAAACCAGAATCTTCCTCTCTGATGCTTCCGTCCCTAATTGTAAATGTGTATCTTTAAAGCTACAGTATCCACTCCGTCTTGTTGCTCACCTTATGTAAATCTATATGATAGGGTTGTCCTCTGTTCCTTAGGACACCTCTTCTTAAAAGGAACGTATCGGTTCACATTCATGCCTTTTTTTTGGTTGCTGTTGCTCAGAAACTCAGGATGCATTCCATTGGCTCGGTCTCATAAGTGAGTATCGCTCTGACCTCCTCTGCGTCGGCGCCTCTTCTGTGTGCGCCTGTCCAGTTCCTAAAGACGGGGTGTGGACTGGGCCTCCATGTCCTTCCCGGTTGTGCTTGTTTTACACGTGTTTACATTTGAGCTAAAGTTTTCACATCCGCTGCTGAATTACTCGAACCAACATTAATCCCTCTCTTCTTAGAATTCTCATTTCACTTGTTGGCTAAGCCACAAGCAGCTCAGACTGGATCATACACTGTGACACCTGAGAGCACCTGGTTCCTTGCATGAGGCTTTTGTCCCCACCTGAAGGATCTCTTTCTTTCCTCCTCTTCAACGCGATGTGCAGTAGATAGGAGATACATTCATCTTTTAATACTGACAGATCTGTTTATTCAGAAAGCATTTTCTGCCCTGACCAGTTTGACTCGGTGGTTAGAACATCCGGCTCGAAGACTGAAAGGTCACAGGTTCGATTCCAGTCGAGGGCACATACCTGGGTTGCAGGTTCGATCTCTGGTCCCGGTCAGGGTTGATATATTTGAAATTCAGTGTTACCAAGTGCTACTTGGATATAGTTCATGCTTTCCAGAGTGTACTAATTAGAAGTATAGGTAGTGACTACTTTCAGTGTTTGAGAAGATGAAGTTTAAGAGACATGATCTGAAAAAGAGCGTGTGGGGGTGGGGGTGGAGGGAGCTGCCTAGGGAGAAATACAATTCCTGGAGGACATCTGAGTTCTTAGTTGAACCAAAGTGGAAAAGCAGGCTAGCTGAGCGTAAGAATCTGTACCAGACTTGTAACTTGTGATTGGGAATGAATATTTTTTAAAATATCGTGTTTTTTTGGTAAGGGTATCTTGAACAGTTGATAGAAATCTTTTCCTGTCCATTGGCATTTGGATAGTGGGCTATATCTACGTAGACATAGATGATCTGTTTTATCCCACACCTAAGACTTCCTGTGATATGTCTCCTGAACATTCATGTACACTAATATTCCTGTCACTCTACTTCCTGGCTGTGGTTTCTGTCGGCCTGACCCCATTCTCCGAGCTCCTGTACAGTGCTTTCCCGCAGTTCTTCATTTCCTGTGTTTAGTTTCCCCTTCTTATTTTATTCCTAAAGGTCATATTTTAAAAATAGCAAATATATATGTGTTCATTGCTAGCTTTGCTCTTTCTTTTCCACTATAGCAGGCATTTTCTATTTTTGTTTTTTTCTGATCCAAGGAGAAATACATGCTTGAGATTTCATCCTAGGCATTTGGGCCTGAAAATTGAAAATTATACTCACATAGGAAATGTGTTAACATTTTGAAAGTATACTTATGTTTTTTATTTCTAGAAGTGAGGAAATTTGGTGGTCAAATAAACAGAAGCCAGGAAAACCAAGATAAACATTTGTGGCAAGTTTCACTCATCAACCAAAAACACTGACTAAGAAGAGAGAGAATGTTTTCAGAAAAACATTTATTCTGGGCACAAACCCAGTTCCTGCAAGAAAAACATCCTGTCAATATGACTCATGTGGAACGAGTTGCAGAAATGTCTCAGAATTAATTACTGGTGATAAAAATCATTCAAGTAAGAAATGTGATGAAATTAATGCATGTGGGAAGTTACTTCTTGAAAATAAGCAAGAAAGCACTCATATTGGAAAGAAATCTGAAAAATACAACGAAGAAGAGAAATCCCTAAGTCATGATAAGGACCTTATTGAGCAACAGAAAATCCAAACGTTGGGACCATCATTTGAAGACAAGGAGTGTGGAGAAGCCGGCCTTAACAAAGCAGCCATCCTTCCACTGAAGAGGGCTCAAACAAGAGAAATCCTGTGATGATAAGGAACATGGGGAAAATATCATTGACAAGTCAGCCCTCAAAGAACATCAGGAAATGCACATAAGGAAGAGTCACTCTGAAGTTACTGAGTACAAGAAGTGCATCCTCTTTAAACATCAGAAAGATAACATGGAGGAGAAAACCCATGAACCTAATGAAAATGAGAATAATTTGAACAAGAAGTCACATCTCATTCAACCTCATAAAACTCACACAGGAGAGAAGACCTTTGAGTGTAGTCATTGTGAGAAATCTTTTGACCAGGAGTACCACCTCATTCAACATCAGAAGACACACAGAAGAGAAACCAGGTGAAAGTAATCAATGTGGGACCACCTCCCAGAAACCACAACTCAGACCCTCAGAGAAATCGCCCAGGAGAGAAACCCAGTGGACGTGACAAAGCCGCTGTGAAGTCGGCCCTAACTGAGCAGCAGAGAACGAAGTCAGAAAAGCTTTATGTGTACAGGGAGGGTAAGAAATCCTTTCGACATAGCTCAGCCCTAAAAGTCCATCAGAGAATTCACTCGGGAGAGAAGACCTATAAATGTACTGAGTGTGGGAAAACCTTCTGCTATAAGTCAGCCTAATATACACCAAGTATCTCATACAGGGAAGAAACACTATGACTAGGATGACTGTGGGAAAACCTGTGTGAAGTCAAATCTCACTGAACATTAGAAAATTCACCCAGGTTTTAGCCCTGGCCAGTTTGGCTCAACGGTTAGAGTGTTGGTCTGTGGTCCAGAGAGACCCGGGTTTGGGTCCCGCTAAGGTCACGTATCTCAGTTGCAGTTTGTCCCCGGCCCTGGTTGGGTCATGCGGGTGGCAACCACTCGATGTGTCCCTTTCACATCGATGTTTCTCTGTCTCTCTCCCTCCCACCCTATCTGAACAAAACACGAAAAAATGTCCACAGGTGAGGATAAAAAAAGAAAAAAATTCACTCAGATTTGAAACCCTACAAATTTAACGAGTGTGGCAAGTCTTTTTCATTGAATTTGATCCTCACTGCACACAAAATCACACAGGGTAAAACCCTATGGATGCAATGACTGTGAGAAGTCCTTCTACAAAAAGTCAGCCCTCACCACACATCAGAGAACCCACACGGGGGAGAAACCACATGGATGTAATGTGGGAAAGCCTTCCATGTGAAGTAAACCTAATCAGGATGAGAACTCACACTGGTGAGAAATCCCTTCCGTGTAATGAATGTGAAACATCATTCTATGTGGTCGCTTGTTCGTATTCACCAGAGAAATCACACAGGAGAGAAACTACATGTAGGCAGTGAATGGGAGAAAGCTTTTCTGTGAAGTCAGCTGATCACCAGAGGACACGTTCAGCAGAGAAGCCCTATGAATGTAATGAATGTCAGACATCCCTTCACCATAAGTCAGTCTAGCTGTTCACCAGAGAACTCACACAGAAGAGAAACGCGGTAAATGTCATGAATGTGGGAAACCCTTCTGTATGAAGTCAGCTCTCAGTCAGCACCAGAGAATACACACAGGGGAGAAACCCTATAAATGTAAAGAGTGTGGGAGAACCTTCCAGAAGTCACAGCTCACTAAATATCAGTGCACGCACACAGGGGAGAAGCCTTGTGAATGTAAGGAATGTGGGAAAACCTTCCAGAAATCACATGTCATTGGACACCAGAGAACACACATTGAGGAGAAGCCCCATGAATGTAATGAATGTGGAAAATATTTCTTTTATAAGTCAGCCTTAACCATACATCAGAGAACTCATACAGAAGAGAAACCCTGTAACTGTAATGGATGTGAGAAATATTCCTGTGTGAAATTAGACTGCACTGTACATCAAGAGAACTCACCCAGGGTAGAAACCCTTCGCATGTGGTGAATATGCAGAAAGCTTTTATGTGACTGGTCAGAGGACTCACACAGGGGTGAAGCCATGCGAAGGTAAGCGGTGTGGGAAGTCCTTCCGTACGAAGCCAGTCGTCACAGCACACCAGCACACAGGAGAGAAGCCTGATGGGAGTCGTGAATGTAGGAACCCCTCTGCGAGAAGTCAGCTCTCATGGAACATCAGGTGATTCACACAGGAGACATACCCTAAATTGCAACAAATGTGGAAAATCCTGTGTGAGGTCAAATTGTGTCACACTGTAGAGAACTCGTGGGAGAAACCTTATGAATGCAGTAATGTGGAGACTCCCTTCGGGGTCAGTTTGGTCCTTAGGTGACACCAGAAAACACACCTGGGGTAGGGGCTGGAGGGCTCCCCATGAATGAAATGAATATTAGAGAACCTGTGTCACACCTTACTAAACATCAGAGAACTCCACACAGAGAGATTCCTGAGAACATCCTGTACTCTAGTATCTACCTATGAGTCAAATATGTACTTCAGAGGAATCGGGGGAAAACAAGAATGCAGCAAGAGTTTTGTTTTGTTTTTTTTATCCTCACCCGAGGATATTTTTCCATTTTTTGTACAGATAGAGTGGGAGGGAGAGAGAGGAAGGGAGAGAGAGAGAAACATCGACGTGAAGGGACACATTGAGTGGCTGCCACCCGCACGACCAACCAGGGCCGAGGACAAACTGCAACCGAAGCACGTGCCCTTAGCGGGAACCAAACCCGGGTCTCTCTGGACCACAGGCCGAGGCTCTAACCGCTGAGCCAAACTAGCCAGGGCTGCAGCAAGAGTATAAAAGCATTTAAAAACTCACAACTTGCTGAATACCAGTTAATTGATACCAGAGTAAAATTATATAAATATTTGATATGCATGAGTGTTCAAGAAAACAACTGTTTGATAAAAAAGGAATTAAGATGGGGGCATCTATCAATTTAGAAAACATGGATATGTTTCTTTTTCTAGAAATAATGTAATATGAGAAGCCATGATTCTAATGAGGTACTGCCTTTTGAAAATGTGACATAGGTGTATCTGATGCTAATGACACTCATTGTTGGAATACAAAGCCTCTTGAAAAACACAAGTTGCAGCAGCAAGGTGACAGCATTAGAACCTTGAGGAATCCTTGAGGTCAGCAAGGCCTAGGCGTGTTAGTACAAATACATATGTTGTGTATGTTTGATTTACGTAGCAGACATCCAGACAGTGGTCAGCCCTGGCCGGTTTGGCGCAGTGATTAAAGCGTCAGCCTGCAGACCAATGAATCTTGCGTTCAATTCCAGTCAAGGACACGTACCTCAGTTGCAGTTCATCCCTGGCCCCTGTTGGGGTCATGCAGGAGGCAGCCAGTAAACATGTCCCTCCCACATCAATGTTTCTCTCTCTCCCCCTTCCTCCCACTCTAAAGATAAATAGAAAAATATCCTCAGGTGAGGATTAAGAAAAAAAAAAACAGTGGTCAGTAGGAAGTATCTCCCCATAGCTTAATAACTATTATGACAGATTTCTCACACTGAATGCCACCAGTGTTTCTTGGTATTTTGACAGTACAATATACACTACAAGTGACATATCTGACCACTTTGAAGTGCTCTATCACAGCATGTTATTAAGTGATAAAAGCAGAGCACAGAAAACTATATATAGCATGCTACCTGCTGTGTGAGAATGAAGAGGAAATGAGCGTGTGTGTGTATATATATCATTGCTTATTTTTGTGAACAGAAACACTAAAAGGATAAACTACAAGCTAATAAAAACGAATACCTGTGGAGATAGGCGTGAGCGGCGTGGTGGGGAGAGGATGGAAGCAAGGTTCTTTGATTAAACTTTTAAATGAAATTTTGGCTTTTGAACAAATGTAAATAATTTACATATTAAAAAAGCAGATTCTAAGGTTGAAAACAGAAACAAATCAACTTTATATCAAATTGGTAGCTTAACCTCAGAAAATCATTTAAGAAACTTTTGAACACGCTATTATGAGTATACATGATACTTAATGGGATGTGTTGAAGGACAAAAAACACCTGCAAAAAATTATAAACACTCATTAATTTTCTTGTTACTAATATTGGTGTCATTTTGAATATTGCATATTTGTGTATATTATAGGATAAAGCAAAAAGAAATTTGCTAAAGATACTGAGAACCAAAATGACCAGTTTGAGAAGACCATAAAAATAAAGGAATTTATGTAAAACTCCCTATAATGATAAATATGAATTGAAAATATTACTCACTAATTTTTAGAATGTGTTTATTTCCTAGCCCAGTCCATGGAGAGGGCCTCGGAGCAGTGGCGCCCCCGCAAGGATGAGCAGACTCAGTCCCCATCGCTGCCCACTACAAGGTCCCGAAGTGTCCAAGGTGAGCCTGGAACCTCTTGTGTCAAAAATCAGGCAAGCACTCAGAGATTAATGGGATGTGCCAGAGGCCACAGCAGCTGGCTAACGGGCTCCCGCTGGCCAGGTGTGAGGGAACCTGATGGTCGAACAGAAGGGCTGTAACCGACTATAACATTTGAATAAACAAAACTCTGCGGCAATACATAAGAAAGGATAAAGGGGTTGAGCTCACTGGAGGCGAATCTTACACAAGCTCCTTACTCTGTCATTAGAGGGAATGAATTTGGTTTTCACCCTGTCCTTTTAGTAGGAGTTGTTCATCTCCAATTATGGGAAGGCTGTTTGTTACAGAAAAATGTCAGCTGACAAATGCAGAAGAAATGGCCGTTCAGAAAGTTGTTAGCGCACCATCCCTAGGCATCTAGGCAGAGATTCTCAGTGGATGCTAAGATCATATGCAGAGGAAACGGTGTTTTTGTGGTGCCAAAGCATCACCCTCAGACACCTCAGTCGCTGAAACTGGGGAAGATGCACCTGTACCTCAGAGTGATTGGGCCCCTTGAACCAGGTGGCCAAACACGGCATAAACAGCGACACTGCGCCTCCTGATGAGATGCTGTGTGAAGGATTCATGTTGTACTGTAGGTGGAATCAAGTGTTTGTAGTCTTCTAGTTTATGGGAAATGCAGGAGATGGAGGCAAGCTTCGGGGGAGAAATTAGACAAATCCTAGACGTGGGACAAAGACAAGACAGCTGGCCTCTGCAGAAAGGCAGTGTCGTTTCAAGAGAGAAGTTTTCCTTCAAAGAGACTGAGACGTAATCAAATGCAGTGCACGAACCCCGATTGGATCCAGACGACACCTCAGTAGATTTGGGGGCAATTGGAGGAATCTGGATGTGGAGTGGGTATTAGGTGGTAGTAGGGAATCAGAGTTCACTTTTTAGGTGTGATCATTGTGGTTATGAACTTCAGCGACCATTTCTAGGACAGGCTGAATACAGACACATGGACTCTCATGATGTCTGCAGCTTTGAAGTGGTTCAGGAAAAACTCATGCATAAGTACATGGAGCAAAAATAGTCAAAAAGTGTCCAACTTCATGGCAGGCACATGGGTGTTCACAATATTTTTCTTAAAAGAGCTCAGAAACTTTTTTAAAATCCTCATTCAAGGATATTTTTCTATTTATATCCAGATAGAGTGGGAGGGAGGGAGAGAGAGAGAAATATCCACATGAGAGGGACACATCGACTGGCTGCCTCCCGCATGACCCTGACCAGGGCCAGAGACAAACCACAACTGAGGTAAGTGCCCTTGATTGGAATCGAGCCCTTGACTCTTTGGTCTGCGGGCCAATGCTCTAACCGCTGTGCCAAACTCACCAGGGCTGAAACTTTTTTAAAAAAATATCCTTTTATTGATTTTTTTTAGGGAGAGATAGAAACATCGATGTGAGAAACATTGATCGCTGCCTCCTGCATGCCCCATACTGGCAATTAAGCCCATAACCCGAGCATGTGCCCTGGCCAGGAATCGAACCAGGACCTCTCAGTCCATGGGACGAGGCCCAGTCCACTGAGCCACACCAGCCGAGCAGAGCTCTGAAATTTATTTATTTATTTTTATCCTCACCCAAGGACATTTTTCCATTTTTTGTTCAGGTAGAGTGGGAGGGAGAGAGAGGAACAGAGAGAGAGAGAGAGAAACATCGACGTGAAAGGGACACATCGAGTGGTTGCCACCCGCACGACTGACCAGGGCCGGGGACAAACTGCAACCGAGGTACATGCCCTTAGCGGGAACCGAACCCGGGTCTCTGTGGACCGCAGGACGACGCTCTAACCGCTGAGCCAAACCGGCCAGGGCAGAGCTCTGAAATTTTTAATGAAAAGTTTCAGAAAAGTATCGTAGCACTTACCTATTCTTTTCCTGGCTTCTGGCACACATAAATTATTCCTGTTGATACTGACCCGCTGTCAGTGACACAGACACTGCCTTTTTTAAAATGGTTTGACTTGTCTTGGGTTTGGCTGGTTTCATGGAAACACGTGGATAAGGTGCACAGGCAGGCACAGCGATGGAAACAGCACAAGCTTGTTCAGAAATAGCTGCGAATGTAGTGCTCATCACGCCCGAAGTAGTGCGGGGATAGAAAACCTTTCTCTCCTGTTCCTGACGGGCTCGGGGCCTCTGGGGCATGGCAGATAGCCCAGGCGGTAGGAGCCCAGGAGGCACTGCTGACAGGGTGCCAGGGGCTGTGGTGATCTCCGCTTCTTCCTTATTGGGGAGACTTGATGTGGCCCATCTTCCCTCTCCTCCCCAGGATGGCTTGGGGTTGGGCACATGACCAAGCGTGGCCTACAGGATGTTTAGGGAAGTATTCAGGGTGACTTTGGGGAAAGGTCTCGTTACTGATAGACATGACAGAATGGCGCTGTCCATCTGGATACCAGCATCAGTTGCATCTTGTGAGTCAGGGCTGGTGGTTCGAGGACAGTGAGCAGAGGGGTCCAGAGGTGTCACCAGCTCTGAAGCGGTGGCGGGAAGACCTGAGGTCAGGAATTTTCCTCATACTTGGAGCTACAATAAGGCATTGGAACAGGGCAGATGTCTTCAAATCATGTCATTCAGAAGTGCTAAATACAGGAATTTGGGGGCAAGAATGATGTGTTTTTGAGAAAATGATTCAGTAACTGCTTTGTGCCTTGTCAATTCCCATGTAATGTTAATTGTAATTTAATGTAAAACTTCCAAGAAATGTTATTTCTTGCTTGAAAGAAATAGAGCACAGGACATTTCCTTCAGGAGCCTAGTCACACATTAAGAATTCTTCCTCTTTATATGAAACAAACATTTCAAAATTTAAATGAATTATTCATTGATATTTTCCTTGACAAGATGTGGCTTGATGAACTGGTCTGATTTTGTTGTTGTTGTTCTTAATTCTCAACCAAGGACATTTTTTCCCACTGATTTTTAGATAGAGTGGAAGGGAGGGGAAAGGGGGGGGCATCAATGTGAGAAAAACATCATTTGGCTGTCTCCTGTACACCCCTACTGGGGATTGAGCCTGCAACGTGGGCATGTGCCTTGACTGGGAATTGAATTGGGACCTCTCAGTCTATGGGACGAAGCTCAGTCCTCTGGGCCACACTGGCTGGGCATAAGATGGTGTTTTAATTGTTCTTATTTTGTAATGATTTTCTATGTATTGAAGAGAAAGCCCCTCTTTATTCTATTTTTAAAAACTTCCTTGGCTTTCCCATTAGTTCTTAGAGGTGACCTATAGAATGGATCTGACTAGGTTTGTGTTTAAACTTAGTCTCAATAACTGACCGAGTGGCGACCAGACACTGTGGGCTCTGCAGTTGGCTTCTGTGAATTCTCTTTCCTGAGAGTGGGCCTTACTTTCTTGTTTCTTTGCATGTTTTATAACTTTTTTTTTTTTTTGGCTCAAAACTGGATTTTTAAAATATTATAATGTGGTTACTATGGAAATCACACATACACCCCACTGCCCCAGGGTTTTTGTTTGTTGTGGCTCCTTGTCATTTGCTTCTTGGTTTTTCTGAACCACTCCAGTGAGCCTGTATTCTTTGTCACATGCAGCCCCTGAATTCCTTGTTCCACTAGATCAGTGGTCAGGTGGGTTTCGCCAATTTCCTTAAACACTTGGAGCCAAAGAAAGCATAACAGAAAGGGGGATACAAAGAAAAAGAGGACAAAATACTCTCCCAGTCTTTGCAGATTGGCTCTGTGTGGGGCCCCCCTGGTTACAGTTCTGCCTCAGCCTTGGCTCCCAGCCTAGACATGGAGCATGACTGGATTGCCCAGCCAGGTATATTGAAATTCAACAAGAATCAGATAGCTGTGGCCGTGTCTTCATTCTGACCTATTTGAGAGGCCACAGGAGCAACTGAACCAACACTTCCCTAACCTTAGGACTGAACACATGTGGGCATCTCACCTCCACCTGCCAGGAGGTGTCGCCCTCCTGCTCAGCCCTTGAAAGTCCTGCTCAGGGTTCCTGATCTGCTCACACCACCAATTATGAGGTCTCTGCTTACAAAGCAAGCAGTCACGTTGTGTCTCAATTGTTTTCAGTTCTTGATGCCCAATAGGTCAACTAGGCCAGGCCCCTGAGGTGCTTTCTTTCACTAACTCCAGCCTGTGTATCTTACATGCTGCCTGAATAGTTCAGACCTTTTCAGATATGCCATCCCATCACATCTGAGTCAAAAATGTTATTTTAAGTACCTCTAAGGAATTGGAAAAACCGGGCCAGTTAAATTAGAACACACTAATTTCAGAGACATAACATGGCAACATGGACATCTGGGAAACTGCAAAGAATTACAAGTCTGGATTACTGAAGAGGCTGTTTAGAACCACTTACACGTACCAGCCCTTGTATGTGCAGGATCTGTCAACGGAAAAGAATGTGGTAAACCACGTAAACTTTTTATTTTTTTTCCTTTTTTTTTTGTTGTTGTTCAGATACAGTGGGAGGGAGAGAGAGGGAGAAAAAAACATCGACGTGAAAGGGACACATCAAGTGGCTGCCGCCGCACGACCAACCAGAGCCGGGGACAAACTGCAACCGAGGTACGTGCCCTTAGCGGGAACCGAACCCGGGTCTCTCTAGACCGCACACCGACGCTCTAACCGCTGAGCCAAACTGGCCAGGGCAACCACGTAAACTTTTCAGATATTTTACTTAAAATGCATACTGTGTATTTAAGCTATAATGGAAGTGTAGGAAACCTTGGTAGATATATCAACAAATATACTGTGAATACATGGTTCCTACACAAAACGACAACCCACCAGACCTTTGAGTCCTGTTATGTGGCACAGTCACAACCACCGAAAAGAACATGGAGGGAAAGTGCTGAGCAACAGAACAGGCACCACCACGAGTGAGGGAAACCCATGAAGATATGGCTGTTCATCTCAGTGATGAAGGGTAAATTATTCAAATAACACAGCATCAGCCTAACAACTGGAAAGCAAGCAAAAGTAGGTCCTTACTTTACACCATACGTTGTCAACTAACATTGGAGCAATGATCCACAAATAAGATAAATTAACCTAAAGGAAATGTATGCCCTGGCCAGTTTTGTTCAGTGGTTAGAGCGTTGGCCCATGGACCAAAGAGTCACAGGTTCAATTCTGGCCAAGAGCACATACCTTGGTTTCGGATCATCCCCGGCCCTGGTCGGGGTCATGTGGGAGGCAGCCAATCGATGCCCCCCTCCACTCTATCTGAAGATATTTGAGAAAATATCGAGTGAGGATTTAAAAAAAAAAGAAGAAAATTTATGTCATGCATTACAAAAAGGAAGATTATATCAGGTTCCAAAGGTCCTTAGGTTAATGATGTAACAATTCAAGAAAACAGACACATTTAATTGTTTCTAATGCTCAAACTACTTACATCAAAATTGACAGAAAATAAGATAAATCTCTATGTCAACATCTCGAAATAAATGATTTACCTAAAGTCCGCTTCTCAATTGTGTAACTCCTACAAAAGTGTAAATTTGTAATTCACTAACAGAGCAACCTAAATCCATTGGCTGAAAAACAAATTGTCTTTCACGGAAGGACAGTCCGGAGGTGCAGTGGCTCCATGGCTGGCCGGTGTGGTGGCTCAGCATCCCCATCCAGGCCCCAGGCTCTTCCAGTCCTTCTGCTCTGCCATGATCCAGTTACACGTCATTGTTGAGACATAACCAGGCATCACCCCAGCAAGGAAACGGAAACGTTCAATGAAAGACTCCACGTTACCCTGCAGGACTCCTTGGATCTTTAAGGAAATCTTTTCCCAAAATAACCCATCAGCTATCTCCTTTGTATATGTGTCTAGAATTGGATCCTATGACCACTCCATTGCTGGTAATGAGAAGGGATTATCATTACTGATTGAAATTGGTCAGGATTTATCCCCTTTCCATAAGCAGAAATGGATACCCTGCCAGCAAACAGTAAGGAGCAAGTGATGAGGGTGGTTACTCAACAGTGTCTACCACAAACCCACATGGAGGTGTTCTTCAATCATTCAGAACAGAAGGAGTCCAGCACAATGTTTAAAAATAGTATCATAGCAAATAAAAACACAGATAGTTCCTAAATTACACTTATATTTGTGTAGGCATCTAAATAAAAATAGTGGATGAAAAAATTAGATAAAAAATGGGAATATTTTAAGTATAATTTAAAACTGTATGGAGTTCATTGAATACTACAGTTGTTTCTCATTACTGGAGACTTCTGGCATTAACAATTTAAAATTTCCTATGCAGTTTTCTACCTATTTTATGCATATGTTTCTTTTTTCTTTTTTTTTCTTTTTTATCCTCACCCGAGGACATTTTTTTGTTCAGATAGAGTGGGAGGGAGAGAGAGGAAGAGAGAGAGAGAGAGAGAAACATCGACATGAAAGGGACACATCGAGTGGCTACCACCCACACAACCAACCAGGGCCGGGGACAAACTGCAACTGAGGTACATGCCCTTAGTGGGAATCGAACCTGGGTCTCTCTGGACCACAGGCCGACATTCTAACCACTGAGCAAAACCGGCCAGGGCTTATGCATACATTTCTATCTCTTGCTGACTCAGATACAGTTGAGAACATTATAAAAAACACTGATTTCTTTATGGAAGATTTAGTTCATTAACAATGATAAAATACATTTATAAGCACTAGAATACAAGAAGAAGCATACTTTATACCTATCAAATATTAGTTCAATGGCAATTCATATTAAGTACTAACATGGTGTGCTATTTAAAATGGGTAATCTTACCATGTCTTACAAATTATTTCAATACGGATACACTGCCTTTTCAAACATGATTCAGAATAAACATATGATTCCTGTAATGACCATCCTAAAAGGCAAGCTAACAAACAAAGGCCTACATTCTCAGGAAACACTCAGGTACGACTTTAATGTGGCTGTTACTGTCTTGATCAGCTATCTGGTTTTACAGTCTCTATTTACAAGGAGTACAATTTATTCACAACATATTATTTTTTAACAAAAAGCTCAATATTATATCAGAAACATAACTTTTAGAATTAATAATTTTCAAAGGAGTGGGTTTTCCACATTCCATAGAATGACACATTTCCCCCTGGTATGAATCCCTGATATGTGAAACAGTTGAACCCACAAAAGTGTATATACATTTTACACATTTATACATTTTACTCCTGTATAGTCGTATCTAACAAGTGATGTGGTCTTGTTGCAGTTGTGGTTTCTACCCTGTGAGTTCTCAGATTACAAGTCTGACTAATGCAGAGGCTGGTCCACATTCCCCCATGGGAATCTGACTTGACCATGGTAGGAGTTTCTTACACATTACAAAGGGTTCTCTGATGTGAAATGAGGCCTGACTTCAGAGAAGCCTTCCCACATCCAGCACATTCACATTCCCTCTCCTATGGATTCTCTGATGGCTATTGAAGGCTGATTTGTGGTAGAATTTTTTCCCACATTCATTACATTCATAGGGTTTCTCTCCTGAATGAGTTCTGTAATGTACAGTGAGGTATGACATTCGAACGAAGGCTTTTCCACATTCATTACATTCAAAGGGTTTCTCTCCCGAATGAATTCTATGATGTATGGTGAGATATGACATCTGAGAGAAGAATTTTCCACATTCATAACACTCATAGGCTTTCTCTCCACTGTGTGTTCTCTGATGTCGATTAAGGGCTGAATTCTGGCAGAAGGTTTTCCCACATTCATTACATTCATAGGGCTTCTCTCCTGAATGGATTCTATGATGTATAGTGAGGTATGACTTCTGAGAGAAGAATTTTCCACATATATAGCATTCATAGGGCTTCTCTCCTTTATGTATTCTCCGATGTCTACAAAGGGCTGAATTCTGGTAGAAGGTTTTCCCACATTCATTACATTCATAGGGTTTCACTCCTGAATGAGTTCCCTGATGTATAGTGAGGTATGACAACTGGGAGAATAGTTTTCCACATTCATTACATTCATACGGCTTCTCTACGGTGTGTACTCTCTGATGTCTCATGAGGGCTGAATTCAGGTAGAAGGTTTTCCCACATTCGTTACATTCATAGGGCTTCTCTCCTGAATGAGTTCTATAATGTACAGTAAGATACGATAACCGAGAGAAAAATTTTCCACATTCGTTACATTCATAGGGTTTCTCTCCTGTGTGTGTCCTCTGATGTGTAGTGAGTGTAGACTTGCGGCAGAAGCATTTCCCACATTCATTACACTTATAGAGTTTCACGCCTGTGTGAATTTTATGATGGTCATTAAGTGCTGACTTCTGGGAAAAGGTTTTTCCACAGTCATGACAAACATAGGGTCTCTCTCCTGAATGTGTTCTCTGGTGTTGGGTGAGGTGTGTCTTCTGGCAAAATGCTTTTCCACAATAACTACATTCATAGGGCTTCTCTCCTGAGTGAGTTCGCTGATGTTGAATGAGGTGTAACTTCTGGTAGAAGGTTTTCCCACATTCGTTACATTCATAGGGCTTCTCCCCTGTGTGTGTTCTCTGATGCACAGTGAGGGTTCCCTTTTGGCAGAAGGATTTCCCACACTGATTACATTCATAAGGTTTCTCTCCTGTGTGAGTCCTCTGATGTATAATGAATTTTGACTTTTTACAAAAGGACTTCCCACATGCACTGCATTCATAGGGCTTCATTTCCATATGAGACGTCGGGTGCACACTGAGGTTTGACATCTGGAGAAAGGCTATTTCAGATTCATTCCATTTATAGGGCTTCTCCTCCATAGGATTAACAAAAACTGCATCCTTTTGAAAGGCTTTCTGGCATTCAATATAGTCAAAGGGTTTCTCCAAAATACGAATGTTCTGATAGATACTTTCTTCATTTAGAGCATAAGCTTCCCCATTTTGATTAAACTCACAAGAATTCTCCCCTGGGTGAGTTTTCTCAAGTTTCACACGGAGACGTGATTTCCCACAGGCACAGCACTCATCAGGCTTCGTTCTTGCATAGCTTCCGTCGCTACTGATGTATTCTGAAGTGGACTTCAAACTCTCTTCGCATGAGTCACATTGATAGGATATTTTTCTTGAAGGAACTAGGTTTGTTTCCACATTAAAAGTCTTACCAAGAACATTACCTCTCTCTTCAATCAGGATTTTGTTGCTGATGGATACAATTTGCTTCGAATGTTTGTCTTCACTTTCCTGGACTCGCTCTGTCAGATCAACTTTCCAGACTTCTTCTAAAAAGAGGCAAAATTAACCAAATGTACATCTTCCTACATAAACTATGGAATGAGACATACACAAACATTTCATGTGGCATAGATGCTAGCTTCATAGACAAGTGCATCCTTTCCCCTTATTCTTTGGTTTGGAATAAACACACACACACACTCCCCAGTGGTGACAAAGGTGAGAAGTAAACTGACAAAAACACAAGCACCTCTAACCTTTACTGCACTATAAGGTCTTGTTCAAAACTGAGTATAGAAGGTAAAATAGGAACAGAGAGCAGTGATCAGAAGACAGGATGCCAGATGAATGACTGACAAGACAGACATGAGAGGACTCCCAGGAGGTGGGTCAAGTGAGGGAAGGGCCTGGAAATTTGAGCTCTGACTTAGAGAAAGTGTCATCTGGCCAAACGAGGTGCACCCCACTGAGACGCAGAGCTGTAGAGACGGTGACCATGTAAACATTTAGGAATATGGACTAAATGGAGTTCAGCAACATTTGGGGAAATAACCGAATATTGATTTTCCAGGTTACACGGAGCTAATATTGTGGTGATTCTTAGAGGATGAGGAATTTAAGTGCCCTCTGGGAATTAACAGGGAAACACCATAGGCTCATCCTGTGAGACAAGTGATAGATCACCTGGAAACTTCGGGTGAACACATCTTGCAAATCCAAGAAGAATGAAGGTGTGCTGTCCCAAGAAATTCTGGACTAGAGGACAGCGGACGAGGCACATAACACAGACCAACAGAAACCCAGAGACCTGAGACAGGAGGAGCCCTTTACAGAACAGATCCCTGAAGGAGGAAACAGATCCTTCAGACACACTTGTGGAGGGGCGGGAGTGTGAATGAGTCAGTTTCTCTCTGTACTTATTGAGCACCTGCTGTGACAGGACATTATGAAGGCACTGGGGACAGAACAGGAAATGAGAGACAAGATGAACAGCATTCAGGAAAAGAGGGAGACCCAGTTCCTGCTGGCACCCCACTTAAGAAGGGCTGGAGCTCAGGAACAGTGAGCAGCACAAGTGCACATGACCACACGGGGAATGGAACTTAATGGTGGAGTTTGGGAAAGAGGATGACAAGTGACACAGGACAGAAACCCATCTGAGGCACTGCACAGTGAAGGAGAAGGAAGGTACTAACATAAGGCCACATAAGTTATTGTTTAGTAATAGACTTATGAACGCCTCCAAACAAAAGGAATCTATGACAACAGGTTACTGAAAATGCCGCAAGAGCGAGTGAGACCCACGGTGTAAGAGGAAGAAGGAAGTGATTACATTTTGGTGCTGGGAGGTAAGCGTGGAAAAGCTCTACAAACATCAGTTTTTGGGAGTGAGAAGCATACAGGTGACTATGTCTAGTCACTTCTAAAAGTTTGAGACCATTAAAAGTCCCTGGGAAAACACTGCCAAGTTAGCAATAACCTCCCCACTGCCTCCCTAACACACCTGGGTGACTCTGAAGTAGGAATTCTCCTTCTACTCTCCATGGCTCTTCTCCTTGCTCCAGCTTGATGATAACTTCCGGTTTGACAATGTGACACCCTGTTAAATGAAAGAGAACTTGAGTCTGGCTGCTGGGTTTCCGATCTCTGCCGTCTGCGGAAAGTACTGCCTTACGAGCTACACAACCAAAGTGCCCATCTGAGCTGTGCCAAAATCAGGACTATTCGTTGGGGAGGTAAAGACCAAAATGCCCTGCCTGGTGCCTAAAACACAGTACTCACGTTCGTCCCATCAAATTCAGTCAGTAAAAGTGAAGGAAATCCCATACGTCTTAGCAACTCAGGAAGCCGCTCTGCTCACCCACGGAGACGAGGTGGCTGTAGTTCTCCAGCATCACATCCCTGTAGGTTGTCTTCTGCTCATGGTCCAGCTGCTGCCACTCCTCCTGGGAGAAGTCCACGGCCACGTCCTTGAATGACACTGGTCCCTGTAATAGCATGATGGGAATTGGGTAATGTGGACAAGACATCTGAAGACTGGTAAAGTCAACTATGAACATTGTATCCCTTTTATGTTACAGGTTATGAAAGGAAAATAAAGCTATCAGACAGACACGGGAAAGAGTTCACTCACTATATATCAAAAAGAAAATGTTGTCTTGCACTACAAGCCAGGAACCATCCTGGCTGTTGGGGACACTAAGACCAGCAGATGCAGCCCTGCCCCCGAGGGCACAGGCCTGAGGGCCACTTGTGGAAACACAGGATGTACTTTGCTCCTTCATTTTGCTTCCACAACATGAACGGTGTGTGTTTGTTCTGCGCGTGCTCCCGGCCACGCCTCCCCTCCAAGTCATCCTGAGCTGTAGGGCCCTGGGCTCCATTCTCAGTCCTTTCCTCTGTGCTTTCTGCACTCCCCGCTTTGATGGTGGTCCCATCCTGCCTCCTGCTTTAATTACCCTCTAAACATTGACATCTCCCAAATTTATATCACCATCCCAGATTCTCTCCTAAATTCCTGATGCACAGGTCCCAGATCTCAAACTCAACATGCCTAAAATTACACTGCTGTTCCTGTCCAAACCTGTTCCTCCTACAGCTCACAGGAGCCAGTCTGCAGTGTCTGCCACAGTTACCAAAGCAACAGGCGAGCCAGGCAACGCCCAGCCTCGTTTTGTATGTTTCTGCACGGGAAGCCTGCAGGTCTGACCACAGCCCGCCACGAGAGCTGTCAGCAACCACCTGTATTTGTGATGCACTGTTGCTGCTTGAAAACAGCACTACCATGACTATTCCAAACCAGGGTTTGATTTGGTGGCAGCTGGAAGTAGCTCGCCCTAGTTCACTTTTTTTTTCTTTCTTTTTCCATTTTAGACAGAGGGAGAGGAAGAGATAGAAACATCGATGAGAGAGAATGTCGACTGGCCATCTCCTGCACACCCCCTACTGGGGATCAGGCCCACAACCTGGGCATGTGCCCCGACCGGTAATTGAACCAGCTACCTCTCGGTGCGGGGGTCGATGCTCAACCACTGAGACGTACCAACCAGGCCAACTTCACTTTTCTGCATAAGGAAAAGGGGAAATTGCACTGTTCTTCCTCTGGCTTAAAAGAAGAAGCTTGACGCGCACTTTTAGCTTTAAACCTGGGTGACATACTAAGAAACCAACAAGAATTGCAGATATTTAGGATTTTAAGTTAGTTACAGAAGATAAGGGAACAGCATATGACAGTGTGTTTTAAAAGATCCCTCTGTTGAGTAACTGTCCAGAGAAAGCTGTGTGATCACAGAATTGGAGCTGCTTATACACTGTCACACAGGGCAGAACATCGGACGTGGCAGGAGGATATTTTGTCACCACTGTCTCAGAGCTAGCTTTCCCTGCTGACGACACCAGCTCACTCACCTGTGGTGGGGGAGGCGACACCAGCTCCTTGCCTTTCTGAGAGGCCAGGAAAGGAAGGAGCACTGGAATTCCATTAGTAAAGACAGGGAGAAAACTGGGATCCCCCAGAGGACTGTAAATGACAAAGACCCAAGAGGACTTTAACAAACAGGCTCAGAAACCTCACAGGCATCACTTGGAAAGGCGAGAGCCTACTGGGGCCAAAGACTGCAGTCCAGGGATCCCCAAGCCAGCAACAGTCTTTCTGTACATCCGGAAAAAGACACTTAGAGACACGCACAGCCTACAGAACAAGAGTCAGTACATCACCTGCGTGGCCTGTCCACAGAAAGGGACTGACGGGGCACTCCAGAGCCACAAGGGGAAGACTAAGAGCAGACAGAAATGTAAGAACTACCTAGATCCACAAATTCCCCCTCCTCACCACCACCACCATCAAAGACGCTACAGTACTCACTGAAGAGGGCGCTCTTGAACTAGGAATCCCACCCATGCAAACTTGCTCCTTTGGGGAAGTTTTATCCTCACCCGAGGATATTTTTCGATATTTTGTTCAGATAGAGGGAGAGGGAGAGGGAGAGAGAGAGAGAGAAACATCGATGTGAAAGGGACACATCGAGTGGTTGCCACCCACACGACCCAACCAGGGCAGGGGACAAACTGCAACCGAGGTACGTGCCCTTAGCGGGAACCGAACCCGGGTCTCTCCGGACCGCAGGCCGACGCTCTAACCGCTGAGCCAAACAGGCCAGGGCTCTTTGGGGAAGTTTTAAAAATACCATGTACTGAAATTCTCAAAATAAAAATATTACAGAATTATATAGTAATCCTGGAAAATAAAGTAAAAAGGCAAATAAATGGGAAAAAAATGTTTACTAACATGACCCAAACTGGAAAAATTTATAAACCTTTAAGACTATAAGTCAGCAAGAAAAGCAAAAGAAAACAAACAGTATCGTGATGAGAAAGATGGGCAGTGGACATGCACAGGCACTTCACATGAAAATAGAAACGGGCCCATCTGAGAAGGCTCCAGACTGCATGGTGCCAACTCCTGACATTCCAGAAAGGGCAAAAACAGACAGTAAAAAGATCAGTCGTCAGGGGCGGGGAAGGGAGGAACAGGTGGCGCTAGGGGACCACCGAGTCCTGAAACTATTCTTTAAGGCACGGTAGTGGTGGATACACGTCGTTATACATGTGTCCGTACCTAAAACATACAACTCGGAGTGAACCCCAATGGAACTACAGACTTTAAACAGTAATGTATTGGTATTGATCCTTCAATTGTAGCAAAGTATCACATGGTAACAATAGGGGAAGCTGAGAGAGAGGAGTATGAGAACTCTGTACTGTCTCCTCAACTTTTCTGTAAACTTAAAACTGCTCAAAAAATAGTCTATTAATGGGGGGGAAACTTCTAAATATGTAGAAATATAAACCTCACTCATGATTAGGAAAAAATCTCAAGCTGACATACTCTTGGGGCCTAGGATCAGCCAGAACACCCCGTCACATTCCTTTTTCTGGCCTCCCACTAGGAACCGGCATCCCCTTGACTCACCCCCACCCCTGCGTTTCATGCCACTCACATGAGCAGCCTCTGCATACGACATCTTTTTATCAGATGACTCATTTGCCCAATGAAAAGGTCTCATTCTCAGGCAGCCCCTCCATGTCATGTCTACCTCCATTCACACACCCCCGTCCTCGGCAGAAGACCCGGTTCTGAGGAGCAAGCATCTTCCCTGCACTTCCAGAGCCGCCTCCAGTCCGCTCATGCTGTCTCTGTCTACGCACCTCACAGCCTCTGCTGCTACTCGGGCCCTGCTCGCTTCAGGGCTGTCACAAACTACCTCGCCGCCTCGCCGCGTGACAGCCGCGTCACCCACAGCAGCTGCAGCCAGGCTGCTTGCCATCACTGCAGCCTCCCACGTACTGACAGACCAGGGTTCCGTGATCTCCCAAAACGAGTTCTATGAATTGCCTCCTCCACGGAGAACAGAAGTTCCCTGAGGGTAAGACCTGCCTCTTGAAATCACCTCCAAGAGAAGATCTTCACAGAAACCAACACGGGGACTGCAGATGGGCAAGGTCCATGGCTAGGACTGGCAGACCTCCATGGGCTTGTACACTAGATCACGGGGACCTTGACAGGGTCAGGTTCAGGGGAGGGGCAGGGGCAGAACCAAGACTATAGGCTGCCAGATGAAACTTGAATGAGAAATAGGGATCTTTGTCAGACACCTCACCTCACGGTCTGCTGTGCAATCCCAACAGACGATCAGAGAAATATTTGGGGAGATTTATTTGATGGGCGAGAGGGCCACTCCTACAGAGAGTCATTGTTTTACCCCTGGATCAAGCAGTAAAAATAATGTATCTATGGGACAACAATGTTTTCGTCACCAGCAAAGGTCTATGCACTGAGAGCTCCCTGGGCAGTATGCCCTTGGATTACAGGAGGCGCGAGGCAGCAATGGTCATGGCTTAGGGCTTGTCACTTAGGAAGGCAAGTCACAATTATAGTGCGATCATCCACAAAATCTTTAAAACCCGTAAGAAAACAAAAGTGTTTCACCTGGTCAGTGTAAGTCAAGTAATGGATGGTATTTGTCATTTTCTGTGACGAATGTCAAGAACACGAGGCATACCTGTACTTTGTCTTTTTTTTTTTTTTTTTTTTTTATCCTCACCCGAGGATATTTTTCCATTTTTTGTACAGATAGAGTGGGAGGGAGAGAGAGGAAGGGAGACAGAGAGAGAGAAACATCGACGTGAAGGGACACATCGAGTGGCTGCCACCCGCACGATCAACCAGGGCTGGGGACAAACTGCAACCGAAGTACGTGCCCTTAGCGGGAACCGAACCCGGGTCTCTCCGGACCGCAGGCCGACGCTCTAACCGCTGAGCCAAACTGGCCAGGGCCTTGTACTTTGTCTTTAAGAGCTCTGAGGATCATGCTATCTATACACATGAACATGACAGAAATGCCTGGTGCTGACCTGCTGCTCTGTGGTTTGTCCGACCATATCTTATATCTGGTCTACTTTCACATTTCAAAGTTTGAACTATTTGTCTCCTAAGGTGTATTATAAAACAAACTAGGGAACACGTAACTAAAAACACTCACCAGAGATTTATTCATTTTCTGCTGCTCTTGGAAAAATATGGAGGGCTGTGAAAGCGGAAGCAACCTGGAGACAGAAAAGGCAACGAAGTTAGGAGGATCTGGCCTGCCAAGAAAGTTCTCTTCCTGCACAAGAACTCACCCAGAAAGTTCCATCAAAGACACCTCTGGGAGACTATCACTTTAAACCTTGGGAAGTGACTGGAAGAATGATAAGGAGGGAGCCCCCATCTGTATGTCTATAATTCCCACATGATTATGTGGTATGTGGTGACTGAGTGGATACATCTCTCATTAGTGAATGAACATCAAAGTCTATTGTAATAATCCTCCATCATTTGCACAAGATAAAAGAAGAAATTTTGTTACAGTCACCTATTTTCTTACTCTTAACATGATCAGCAAGTCAGCAGGATGCTCTGAGTAAAGGGATACACTCAAGCAGGACTAAGTCTTTGCATTATTTGTACAAATGGGTGTGCTGCTCAAAGGGCCTCTTATTAAGAAACTTTGACTTAACAGAAATACAGCGGGCACAACACCTGGCCTGCGAGTCTGAGTGCTGTTAGCAATCCCACCTGCACAGCACACCACCTCCGACAAGTCACCGCCCTTCTCAGGCCCAGCCTCTTCCTCCGGCACCTAGCAGCAGGACGTCGCCTTGCAGACCTGTCCCCGCTGCACTGGCTGCACAGGGCAGGACCCAGGGGAACGGGCACACACTTAGATCAGAGAACAAAGGTCCTGAGGGGCGTTGAGGGGGAAGGGGTGCTGGGTGTGCAGGGAGGAGGGCACACGGCACATCCGCAGCCCAGCCTGGGACCCCAGGTCCCCCAGGAGACCCAGAAGTCACAAGCCCCAGGGGAGCGCCCATTCCGGAGCAGCCTGCCCCTGCCCTCCGGCCCGGACACGGGATCTCCGGGGAGCGCCGGCCGCACACTCTCGTGTCCTCGGCCGGGGCGAGTCCCCAGCACCACCTACCCCGTGGGGACTGCGGATCTGCCCCAAGGCTCCCGAGGCTCCGCCGCTTCTCCCCCGGGGTCCCCGCCTCTGCGCCTCCCCAGGCCGCGTCCCCGAGGACCAGGCTCGGGGCCTACGGGACACACTCACTCAGGAGAATGTCCCTCCCGGGGACGTCACTGTCCCGCGCGCCTCGGTCCGGTCGCCGCGATGCAGACGGGCCGAGCTCGGACCGCGCCGCCGCCGCCGCCCAGCTCCTCGGGCCTGGCCCGCGGGCTCGGGGTCGCCTCGGAGGTCCCGCTCCAGAGTCCGCCCGCGCGCGAGCCGGTCCCGCACAGCCCCGCGCCCGCTGGGTGGCGGCCCGACCCACAGCGCCGGCCCGGCAGGCCCGGGACCCTCGCCCAACCGAGGCCAAAGCCTGGGAACCACGGCCAGCGGTGACCTGGGCACGGACAGGAAGCGACAGCAGCACGGCAGCAGTGCGCCTGCGCGAACACGCACACAGCCCCAGGCGCACATGCGCACGAGGACACCGGAAGTCCGCCTGCCGGAGGCCACCCGGGGCTGTGGGACAACTGCCAGGACTCTATTTCCCATAAGTCTCCGTGCCGTGGAGTTAGGGAGCGTCTCGGTAGTCCCGGCCCTCCCGCATTAGGGGGCGCGTGCGGGGAGAGCTCGCGCCGGAGGGGGCCCCAGTTTCCCGTTTGTCTTGACTCCCGTTAGGGCTCAAGGAAAGGTGTCGCCTGTGTGACTGCGCCCTGGAATCCTGGTCCTTTCCTTGCTCCAAGACCTTTGGGGTTAGGGACTCCCCCACAACCAGGGGAAGGGCAGGGAGGGGGTGTATCATGTCCACGTAACTGAAAAACCAGAAGTTTCACCAAAATGCTAGGAATCAGTAAATGCCCAGCTTATGACATAACATAGTATTGCCCATGGGCATCTGGTTTCTCCAAGGAAGGAAAAGATAATAGAAATTGTAGCTTTTCTAGATTACACAACGAATTCATAGAAACTGTAAAAAGTCAGAAAGTACTCACACACTGAAGAAAGGTGAGCGGATCTTACCTCCTAAAGAGGATGGTTGGGTAAACGTGTCGCTTTTCAAAAATGGAATCATAAGGACAATGATGAACACCTCTTTGTGGTGAAATAATACCGTGTTTGGGGCCAGTTGTTTCTACAAAGCTGTTGTGCGTGTGTGGTGGAGGGGATTAAAAATAATATCTCGAACAACCCAGACAATCATGTCCACAGATGTAGAATAGAGAAGACAATTTTGTTTGTTGTTGAACAGCATTAAACCAGACTGTGCGGGGCATGGCAGGGAGCCACTAGTGAGCTGGCAGGAGAAAGGACCCTCACCTTTGCATGGAGCTCAGCAGGCATAGTCCTTACAGACACACTCTCAAGTTCAACACTAACTCCTCTCACGAGAAAGGACAGTACATTTGCTATACATTCTTCCATTGTCCATTATACATTTACCTGGTCAGCTGAGTGGCCATCCTGCTAGTCAGTTGCCTTTATGCCAAAGGAAAAAGAAAATCTCTCATGTCTCCATGACAAGTAGGTATTTACAGCTCAGAGCAAGGGGCCTGGAGCCTCGCCTCAAGTCCCGGGGTGACTGAGACAGGGATCTTATCTTCCTTGAGCTTGAACTGCAGCATTAAACTTACCCTGCACAAAGCCTGTGCTTGTCCAAAGTTGCTCTTGAAAGTGGCCGTGAAGCCAGGGATGGTCTTTTCCAGCTCTTGCTGCCATTCACCATGGCCTGTGCCTGAATTCTCACCCATGGAAGGCTGGGATGTGAGGAACAGTGACCACACCTCTGGGCCTGAGCCAGGAAAATCACAGGGCTCATTTCTCTATGGTCCTTTCCATTTTCACCAGGTACAGGATGGGAGCTGTGCCAAGCACCCTGGAAGCCCCACGGTGAAGATGAGCAGAGTGCCCATCATCCTGGGCCCCTGGCCTCCAGCTCCCACCTTCCCCACATGCACTAACTGGTGCTCAGTGAAACTCGGGGGTGCCCTCTGCGCCTGGCTCCTCTGTGTGCCCGGCTCCTCTGGTTCTCTGCCCTGCGAACCGCAGCTGCCAGGTCCCCGCAATAACCCATTCTGTCCCTTCAGTTCAAACACGCAGGGTGCAGTGTGTGGCCTGGGCTCTCTATGGGCTGGCTTCTCTCTCCAAATGGCTGAAAACTGTCCTTTTACACACTTCCCTCTTTTTAAAATCTTGTTTAAACTGGGAGGGTAGCCCTGGCCGGTTTGGCTCAGCGGTTAGAGCGTCGGTCTGCGGTACAGAGAGACCCGGGTTCGGTTCCCGCTAAGGGCACGTACCTCGGTTGCAGTTTGTCCCTGGCCCTGGTTGGTCGTGCAGGTGGCAACCACTCGATGTGTCCCTTCACATCAATGTTTCTCTCTCTCTCTTCCTCTCTCTCCCTCCCGCTCTGTCTGAACAAAAAATGCAAAAAAAAAAAAAAAATGTCCTCGGGCGAGGATAAAAAAAATAAATAAATAAAATAAATAAAAAATAAATAAACTGGGAGGGTAATCTGGACCCTGTGATTGGCCAGAAGCAGGAGAAGCCCACCTCTTCCTGCACTTTCATAAAGACCCCTGCATATATTGTAGTTAGAATATAAAGCTTTCTCTTTTTGTATTACTTAAAAATGCAAATATTCCCCCAATTTGTCATCTGTTTTTTCCCAGTAAATTATTTCCAGTTATTTATTCACTTATTTTGGTATTTTTGTGGGCATTATTTCACTTTACACAGTGCAAAAGTACATGAAGATATATAAGCCCCCCCCTACTGCCCTGTAACCCACCCCTCCCCACCAGATACCCCCACACCCATCCACTCCTGCTTCCCATTCCCTAACCCTGAACCCAACCTCCCTAAGTAACCCCTTGTTTGCTAAATGTTTTTCCAGACCTTTTTCTTTGCTTATTCAAACATAAAGCTATAACATAAGGCACACGTAAATCTATAATATACATACCATACATATACACACAATACTTTTGTGGGTTTTGTTTCACAAAAAGCAAAATTAGTCTTTGGTATTTTTTAAACAGTACAATAGACATGCCTCCAGTACAGTACGCAGGGTCTGCCCCTCCTTTTACATGTTTCTTGTATTTTCAAGCTTTCTTCAGCTGTCTCCTTCCCCATGGCTCCAGTTTCTCTCAGATTCTCAAGAACTCTGTCTCAGCTGTGTCTCTCCCCTCCCCCTCCCCCTCCCCTCAGAGCAGGGTCCTGCCCACGGCTCTCCACTGGCTGCACTTCCTCACTCCCTCCTCTCTCCCCACAGCCTATCCACTGGGCTCTGCCCCTCCCCACCTGGATTTGCTCAAAGATCAAAAGTGTTTGCCAGACCCATGGAGCACTTTTCCCTCCTGCCTCAGGGGCCCCCTGCAGTCCTGAGCACTGCTGAGCATGCTCCCCTGGCCACTCTCTTCACCCCATCCTGACTACTCCTAGGTACCTCTCTGCCTCCATGGTACCCAGTGTGGGACGACTTTACTCCCTAGTGGACATGTGGCAATTTCTGGAGACTTTTCTGGTTGTCACAGCTCAGGGGTATGTGCCACTGCATCTGGGTAGAGGCCAGGGATTCTGCCAGACATCCTACAGTGTACCAAACAGTCCCCCGCAGCAGAAATGGTCCAACCCCAAGTGTGAAAGAGCACAGAGGTTGGGAATCCCTGCACTAGAGGGATACAAACAAGCCCAAGGATGAGTCTGACAGGTGCAGGCTAGGTTTTTTGTTTTTTGTCTTTCTCAATCCCTCCACATTCTTATACGATCTTATCATTTCTGCGTTTTTTAAAAGTGATTTTGAAACCTTGAAACTGGGAAACTGGTTGCCAGGTTGGAATGACTGATGACATCAGAGGCTTCCGACCTTCCTGATTGGAAGGACCAGATTCCGTGGTGCTTGGCAGCGAAGGTGGACAACAGCATCTTCTCGGATCCTTTCTCCACTCCCAGTGTCTACTCAGCTCAAAGAAGGGATAAGGGTCTGTGTTCAAATCGAGAACAAGAGTTTGGACAGATCAGAGTCTAGGTTTCTTGAAAAGGAAGAGTTTGGGAGAAATCATGGCCAGTTGTGAACCAAGTTCACATTCTGAGAACCAGAGCCCTCCACCTAACTCCCCAGGGTACCCCTTGGAGGTGAGAGTGGGTGAAGAAGTCCCAGGACCATCAGGTGAGGAAACTAGGTGCAGAAGGGATTTGAGAGGCTTGACCATTACGGAGGAAGGGGAACCTGACTAGGGTGTGTGTGAAAGAAAGGAGAGATTCAGAAAGCCAGGAACTGGAGGAGTGTACAAGAACCGGAGACAGGACTATCCCATGAAAAGAGCCCGGGAAGCCAGGGAGGAGGGTGAGGCGTGAGGTCCGAGGAGAGAATGGACGCGAGGGCACACCAGAGGTTCCCTCCCCCAGCCACGGGAGAAGTGATCTCTAACGAAAGAGTTTTGAGGACAGAGACACAGAACAATGGCAAGATGAATGGGGCAGGGGAGGGTGTGGGGGACAGATGGACATCACCAAAAGAGAGAGAGGCAAAGAGGTCTGGGGAAAAGGCCAGTCGTCCCTGAGACTGGAGAGAATGGAGGGGTTTGTTTTGGGGGGAGATAGGTGGAGTAAAGTGGGGGTGGGGTTTAGGTGAACAGCAGCTGAATTCCAAAGGCAAAAGCATTATATCGTAGCCTGGTTTCTTTATTCAGCACCCTGGGTCAACCCCAGCCCCCTGCCTCAGTCCCCTGACCGGAAGAGGAAGAGGGAGTGGTCCACAGAAGAGGAGCCGGAGGAGGAGGCGGCCCCTGGGGCCCAGGACACCTGGGTTGTGGAGACCCTGTGTGGGCTCAAGATGAAGCTGAAGAGGCAGCGGGTGTCCTCAGTGCTGCCGGAGCACCACGAGGCCTTCACCAGGCTGCTCGGTAGGAAGAAACCCTGGACAGCACCCTCCAGTCCTGTTCTTTAAAAAAACAAAACACTTCCAATAACGACTCTCTTCCAATAGGAAATAATTCCCTGCTAGCTGGTGAGCTTTCTGTCCTAGGAGGACTCTGTACTGACCGCTCATTGGGGACACTTAGGAATGACAGAAGATTGGTCTAGACTTGAAAAGGGTCTGCACTTGGGATCAGAAAGCTTGGGGTTTTTTTGTTTTGTTTTTTATCCTCACCCGAGGACATTTTTCCCATTTTTTGTTCAGATAGAGTGGGAGGGAGGGAGAGAGAGAGAAACATCGACGTGAAAGGGACACATCCATTGGCTGCCATCCACACGACCCAATCAGGGCCGGGAACAAACTGCAGCTGAGGTACATGCCCTTAGCAGGAACCGAACCCCGGTCTCTCTGGACCGCAGGCCGGAGCTCTAACTGCTGAGCCAAACCGGCCAGGGCAGAAAGCTTGGTTTTCACTGCACACTTCGAGACTTCTTAGCTCTGGCCTCGTGAATCTAAATCCTTCATGTGTGTAAGGGGGGTACTAAGGCCACCTTCGCACCCTGACCTGACAGTCAGTTGAGAACATGCCTGAAGGGCTATGGCCTCGGCAGAAGCACATTCGTGCGTGATGAAGGATCATCACTGATTCTTTAGGATCTGAATCGTGCAGATATGCTACTGACCCCCCCCTGTCACTCAGGCACCCTGACCGGGTGGGGCGTGTCACCACTGCTTCCTGGCCCAGGGAGCAGTCTCCTCTGAGCCTCTTCCTGTCAGCCTCACCCTTGGCCACATCCCGAAACTCCCCCAAGAGGCACGTGGCGCTCCTCTTTGCCCTGGACCGCTCCCATGGCAACCCTGTTCCAGCTGTCGAGCTGACCTAGGCCCTCTTTCACAGAGGATCCTGTCGTCAAACGATTCCTGGCCTGGGACACAAAGCTGAGGGTCTCTGACAAGGTAAGATGCACTCCTGCTCCGCCATCTCTCCCAGCCCTCCGTTCTCTCTCCAGTCTGATGCCTTGTCAGGACTTCCCTTCGGGACCGAGGAGTTCTGTGCAGTGTGGACGGGCAGCCCTGCCTCTGCCCGGCTCCTCTGGGACCTGAGCTCAAGGCTCGTCCCTGTGCTTCTGACACATCAAGTCCCTTCTTCTCTCAGCTCCTGGGGACTCCCCTTTGCTCCAGCTTGTCAAAGACCCTCCTGATGCTGGCTGTCCTAACCACATGCCCTCAGACTCTGGCGTCTGCCCTCCTGGGAGCAGCAGCCGGCCCCTTGTCCCTCTGCCCGTCCTCTTTCCCAGTGTGAGTCCTCTTGTTTCCCCCTTTCCCCCAGTACCTCCTGTCCATGGTGGTCGCTTATTTCAGCCGGGCGGGGCTGTTCTCCTGGCAGTACCAGCGCATTCATTTCTTCCTGGCCCTGTGAGTATTCTGCCTAATCCCATCCTCAGTATTCAGCCCCTGGGGGGTGGAGAGAGAGGCGTGGGTCTCTGACCATGCATCTGTTTTTTTAACCTATTTGTACGGTTTAACCTATGTATAAAAATGATAGGATTATAGTATAGTGTTTTTTTTTATACTGTTCTTTGTGAAAACCAACAATCCTAATGTCAGTTAAAAGACTGAACAGAGCCCTGGCCAGTTTGGCTCAGCGGTTAGAGCGTCGGCCTGCGGTCCGGAGAGACCCGGGTTCGGTTCCCGCTAAGGGCACGTACCTCGGTTGCAGTTTGTCCCCGGCCCTGGTTGGTCGTGCGGGTGGCAGCCACTCGATGTGTCCCTTCACGTCGATGTTTCTCTCTCTCTCTCCCTTCCTCTCTCTCCCTCCCACTCTATCTGTACAAAAAATGGAAAAGTGTCCTCGGGTGAGGATTAAAAAAAAATAATAAAAATAAAAAATAAAAGACTGAACAGAGCCCTGGCTGGTTTAGCTCAGTGGTTAGAGCGTCGGCCCGTGGACTGGGGAGTCCCAGGTTCGGTTCCCACTGAGGGCACGTACCCCAGTTGCAGTTTGTCGCCCATCCCCGGTTGGGGTTGTGCAGGTGGCAACCAGTCGAGGTGTCTCTCTCATGTTGATGTTTCTTTCTCTCTCTTCCTCCCTCTCTCCCTCCAGCTCTATCTGAAGGTAAATGCAAAACAATATCCTCAGGCGAGGTTAAAAAAAGACTGAACAGAGCAAAAGAAAACATAAAAGCCTCATAAAGAATTGACACCACCCTGCCCCCAAACAAACAGGCCTGAGACTGACCATTTATCTTTCTTTATTGATTTTAGAGAGAGGAAGGGAGAGGGGGAGAGAGATACACATATTGATTAGAGAGAACATCGATTGGCCGCCTCCTGCACGTCCCCCACTGGATATTTGGTCCACAACCTGGGCATGTGCCCTGACCAGGAATCAAACAGGCGACCTCTCGGTGCATGGGTCAGTGATCAACCACTGAGTCTCACCAGCTGGGCGAGACTGACTATTTCTAATTCCTCTCTCCCACATCAATGCCAAGCGTAATGGTCTTCCTCCTTAATTCATACCCTCATTAAACAACACAGATCTAGTATAAAATGCTCCCCAGGGATGTTTCTTACAAGTTTCTCTGAATATCCTTCCAAAACACAGGCTAACCACTTCACCACCCTCCTCAACGATTTCACTGGGTGATTTCACTCTGGATCAAGGCTGAGTTCTCAGCTGGAATCCAGCTGTTTCTACGATCTCTATCAAACGTGCTTCCACCCTGATAGCTTAGTCTTTGTTTCGCCACGCTTCCCAACACCATGCCCTCTGTTTCCATATTGTTTTCTATCTAGGTGTTTTTTTTTACACATATGTATCTGGAGAAAATGACCTATTCTTAGAATTGATTCAAACACCCAAATCTTCGGATACTGTCTCCAACCCACTAACTTCTGCATCCCAGTAGCACTTTAATTAAAAGTCTATTATAATGTGATATTTTGGATTACAGTTAGTTCTTATCTCCCCTCTTCCTCAGTGCCATTAGAGTAGACACCTGTTGGAAGCAGGTCCTGTCAAAATATCAATGGCTTCTTAAGACACTCAGTATAATTCTTTTTATTTTGCAAACATTTAAGTTATCTGAGTGTGTGAGGTAGTCAGTTTTACACTTGACTATGAGACACAGTATTCATTTTATCATTCTATGAAACCTTGTGAAGTGCCTCTCATGTGTCAGGGATTGTGAGGGCTGGGAGAGAATTCAAGAAGTGCTATTGGGCCCTGGCCGGTTTGGCTCAGCGGTTAGAGCGTCGGCCTGCGGTCCAGAGAGACCCGGGTTCAGTTCCCACTAAGGGCATGTACCTCGGTTGCAGTTTGTCCCCGGCCCTGGTTGGTCGTGCGGGTGGCGACCACTCAATGTGTCCCTTTCACATTGATGTTTCTCTCTCTCTCTGTTCCTCTCTCTCCCTCCCACTCTTCCTGAACGAAAAATGGAAAAATGTCCTCGGGTGAGGATGATTAAAAAAAAAAAAAAAAAGAAGAAGAAGTGCTATTGGGTTGCCCAGCCGGTGTGGCTCAGTGGTTGAGCATTGACCCATGTACCAAGAGGTCACCGGTTCGATTCCCGGTCAGGGCACACGCCAGGTTGTGAGCCCGATCCCCAGTAGGGGGCATGCAGGAGGCAGCCAGTCGATGTTCTCTCTCATCGATGTTTCTATCTCTCTCCCTCTCCGTTCCTCTCTCTCTAAAATCAATAAAGAAACAACAACAACAACAACAAAAATTTTTAAGTGCTATTGGGTCAAGGCACCAATGAACCAAGTCCTCTGTTAGTCATTTCGTAGGAAAGTGGTGCACACGGAAGTGGACCAGTCAGTCCCTGCCCTCGGGAGCTGTGTGGGTACAGAGAGAGAGAGACAGACGTGCGCCCACACAACAGGTTAAAGGGAAGGGGGCCGCCTTCCCCACTGAATTTTATCTTCATCATCAAGATATGAAAGTGCCCTTGAGGTCCCTGCTCAGCAGTGGCTTCTTGATGACTGAATGGCACTCTGTGACACAGGACAGGGCTCCTGTAGGTCCTGTGTGAAGATGACCCGCCGGTGCCCTTTCTGGGAAGCTGACCTCAGACAGGGGTCCTTCCTGTCCTGCTCCTGACTGGCAGCGTGATGTCTTTCCCCAGCTACCTGGCCAATGACATGGAAGAAGATAACCAGGCACCCAAACAAGCCATCTTCTCCTTCCTCTACGGGAAGAACCGCTCCCAGCGTCCCCTGTTCCACAAGCTGCGGCTGCAGTTCGTCCGTTCCATGGGCTGGAGGACGAGGGTCTCCCGGGAAGAATGCGAAGAGGTGGGTGGGCTGTGGGGACTTGGGGGAGGGGGCCAGATTGGAGAGAAGGGATCACGGAGGATCGGAGTTGGAACCTGGGATGAGAAAGAGTTAGGGTTTGCACAGGGGAGGGTGGGAAGTCCCCCTGGAGAGCCATGATCTTTTCAGGGGGCTGTCTGTCTTTCCAGATCCAGACTTTTGACCCAGAGCTCTGGGTGTGGGGGCGAGATCGCGCCCGTATCTCCACGACTGCAGAGGCCTAAGGTAGGTCTGGAGCGGGGCAGGTCTGTGTCCTCACAGGTGCAGACAGAATGATTTGTTGTCTGTTTAGGGAACGTGAGAATGCAATGTCTGGGCCCACACTTGTCATCCCCCACCCCACCCCCTTGCACGCACTGTGAAGTACACCCATAGGCACACAGCCAGGCCCTGACTCAGCTCCCAGCCGTAAGCTGACAGCCCCACACAGGCACCTCGTGGGATGTGTGGGTGCCCGACCTCAAGATTTGGCTAGCATCATTTTAACCAAAGCAACTCAGTTCAAATTGTTGAAATGTTGACTTTTGTGAAAAGTGAATGTTTTACATTTTTTCCCTATATTATGTTTTAACTTTCTCTTGTTAAGTTACTTTGGCCTCTCATCCCTCAGGAATACCAACTGTAGGGACTTATCTAGAATAAAGTCAGTGTTGAACAATAAGATATTAGATGGAACAGTCTCTATATCCAAAAAATAGAAGATAAATCGTGACTAGCTACATTTTCATTCAAATTTGCTCTAGAATAAATGGCTTATGGCCAGCCCACCGGTGTGTTCTTCATTTCCCACTCACCAAGCTCTCCTCTTGTACAATTACACAATTCCCTCGAATTCATGGTCAAGGAGTTTGTCAGAGGAAGCGATGGCTGAAAACTACTAGCTCCAGCATGGCTTATGATCGACACATTCGGGTCACAGATTTGGGCAGAGGATTAAGCCAAGATTTGATTTAAGTCTTGTGAACTAGCTATCTTAGTCCGTTCGGACTCTATGACAACATATCACGGACTGGGTGGCTTGTCAACAGCAGACATTTATTCCTCACAGTCTGGAGGCTGGGAGTCTGAGATCAGGGCCAGCACGGTCGGGTTGGGTGAGGCCCTTCTTCTGTGCTGCAGACAGCCCACTTCTCACCACGTCCTTACACAGCGGAAGGGCGAGGGATCTCTCTGCGGTCGTTTATAAGGGCACTGATCTCATTCGTGAGAGTTCCATCCAGTAACCTCATCACCTTCCACAGGCCTCACCTCCTAATACCATCACCTTAGGATTTGGGGTTTCAACACATGACTACGGGGGACACAAACATTCAGACCATAGTACTAGCCAAGTTTAGACTAGTCACATTATGGTTACACATTAGGATCCAGGGTTAGGATTAGGCATCTGGTCTCGTGGTTTGTGATGCTGACATGTTAGTGATGGTTGCAGTGTGGTTAGAAGTTCAGGTGCTAAGGAGTATGAAAGGACCAAGGTGTGAGCGAGCAAGCACCCTCTCCCTGCGTGTGCTACACCGAGCCCTTGCTGTAGAGCAGATTTCTGGCTGTCTTAAGTCATTTTTGGACTCAGAGTCATCAAAGACTCACATTTGAAAATGATGGTTCAAGATTGGGGTTGAGAATGGAAAGTTAGAGATAAAATTGGATTTATAAATTAGTCTAAACTCTGCTTAGAATTGACCGAGAATTTAAATAATCTTTATATCTGGAGAGTTGCATCTTTGAAAGGTGACATCCTATTTCCTTCTCTTGCATCTAGATCACTGAGCCCAGGGAAGATTCCAGTTTTCAGCAGAAGTCAATCCAGATGCTAATGACAGACCTGAGGGAGGGAAAGAGGAGCCTCCTGTGCAGATCATCTAGCAGAGCCCAGAATGTTCTAGAATGTTCTGAATCATTATCGAGCCATACTCCTGGGAGCACTTTTAGGAGTCCATAGAAGAACAATAAGAAGCCAGGTTTTTTAAAACTTCCATCCCTTCCTAAAGCACCACCCAAAATTTCACCTTGTTTAACTCAAAACTCCCCGGAGGTAGAAGTTGAAGGTTCCTTTTTTTATACACTCGATTGCAACACTACCCCGTCTAAAGGTGGTGTTTAGGGGCTCAGAATAGCAGGGAAATATTTTAAAAGTATAAACTTAGAGCCATAAATTATGATAGCTTAATATATGTCATACCTTTTATTGGTTTATTTTGAAAATGTTGTCCATAGGATTATTATATTTATTCTTATATTTAATATTTATATATTTTAAAGAGTTTGAAATAGTCATAGTTTTGATGTTTTTGATGGTATTATAGCTGTTATATATATGTAAATATAATTTTGTTTACATTTTGAAGGTTTTTGTGTTTTTTATCTATTATATTTATATAATAATAATTATCTTTTTTATAATTAATTCACTTATTTTTGTTACAGATGTTTCTTTTCCCCTCACTGATCCCCCCCCCCGCCCTGTCCCCAGCTTTGTTGTCCATGTCCATTGTCCATGCATACATGCATATAAGTTCTGTGGTTTATCTCTCTCCCACCACCCCCTCTTCTGGGGATTGTCAGTCTGTACCCCACTTCCACGTCTCTGGGACTACCCCATTTCTCAGACTGTTATGTTCATTATATTCCACAAATAAGTGAGATCCTATGATAGTTGTCTTTCTCTGTTTGTCTTGTTTCGCTTAAGATAAATACTTTCCAGGTCCCTCCATGTCATCTTAAAAGATAAGAAATTTTTCTTTCTTATAGCTGCATCGTACTCCTTTGATATCAATTATCTTATAGCTAGTTGGGTAGTTCCCCCATATTCTGGTAACTATAAATTTTTATTTATTTTTTTGTCTTTTTTATTGATGGTGAGAATTGAGTTATAATTTTTTTCTTTATTGATTTTTTAGAGAAAGAGGAAGGGAGAGGGAGAGAGAGAAACATTGATGAGAGAGAACATCGATTGTCCGCCTCCTGCATGCTCCCCACTGGAGATTGTGCTCACAACCTGGGCATGTGCCCTGACCGGGAATCGAACCACCATCCTCTTGGTGCATGGGTCGATGCTCAATCACTGAGCCACACCGGTCAGGTTCAGTTGTAATTTTTTAACTTGCCTGGATGACATATTTGTATATTATTTTAGATCATTAAAGAGCACAGTGCAATGCATTTCTTGAAATATAATAAAGATGAAATTCTCACCTTCACAATGGGTGTGGTCATACCAGTTTGATTAGCCCCTTCACTGTCAAATGATAATGTAGCTTAATGGGGCTGTGATTATTAAACTGAATTTCTTTTTTTTTAATTCTCACTGTAGGCCCTGGCCGGTTTGGCTCAGCGGTTAGAGCGTCGGCCTGCGGTCCGGAGAGACCTGGGTTCAGTTCCCGCTAAGGGCATGTACCTCGGTTGCAGTTTGTCCCCGGCCCTGGTTGGTCGTGCGGGTGGCGGCCACTCGATGTGTCCCTTTCACATCGATGTTTCTCTCTCTCTCTGTGTTCCTCTCTCTCCCTCCCACTCTATCTGAACAAAAAATGGAAAAATGTCCTCGGGTAAGGGTAAAAAAAAATAATAATAATAATCCTGAATTATTTTTCACATTGAAAAAAACAATGGAAATTAAGGCAGATCCTAACGTAGAGTCTGAGTGCAGAAAAGCAGGGGACAATATTGAACGGGAAGACTAAAAAGAAGGAAGAAAGCACCACCGGCACCTATACAATAATCTGAAATTCAAAATAAAGGACAGGTGAACCTAGAGCCCATGGTGAAGTAGGAACCATGGAAAAGAAACCGGGGTATTGTAGGAGTTTTGCAGGGGGCTGGAGGGGGGGGAGGGCGGGGAGAGCTAAAGCTGTTAAAGGAGATGGGCCTCGGGAAAGAGGAACTGCTAAGGTAAATACTGGATTATGGAGGAAAGCATACTGAGAGATGGGAACATCCGAGAAGCTGGGAGAGTCCCAGATACCAAGCTTCCAGAGTCCTCAGGTTGTGCCTCCCTCACAGCACACAGATGTGTTTCACCAACCAGAGAAGCTCACCTGAGCTTTTTTATTGGGATTTCATTGTGTAGGCATGATCTTTACAACCACTGGCCAGGTGATTGAACCCAATCTCCAGCCCTCCTCTCCTCCCCAGAGATGGGTCCCTAATGTAGGACCTGTGACCACAGAGTTGGGCTCTCTGGCTGACTGGCCCCCACCCTGAGTTACCTCGTTAGCATAAACCCAGGTGTGCTCCAAAGGGCTCAGCACAGGTAGCAGACACTCCCCTCGCTCAGGAAATTCCGAAGATTTAGGGGCTGCTTCACAGAACCAGGGATAAGGACCACCAGTGTTCATTATACACCACATTGAGCTGGGCCGGGGGCTCTGTCAGAACTTGGGGTGGCCAGGGAAGGGAAACAGGTGTGCGTGCAGAGCTGTGCCTGGGCAGACAGAAGCTGAAGAAGTGGGGAGTGAAATAATGGGGTGCTCCCAGGCCCCTGGAATAGCTCAGGAGATGCAGAAATTCAGGAGCTGGGATCTCCTGTGTAACCGAGTGAAGAGAAGCCCAGGAGGAAACCTGGTTGTGCGTCGCGGGTGGGTTTCTTTTTCGGAACAAGGGGGGAGGAGGGCATCCAGACGAATACTCTATGTTGTTATGGCAGAACTCTGTTGACTAATGTTTCCATTAAATGTCACACTGCTAAGTGAGCATGCCGCACCCCTTTCCCTTATTTATCAGGGTTGTCTGTGGTCACTGATTCTAATCCTCAAACTCTCCAAGTAAGGAAAGGACTGGGGCTTCGGGACACCTGGTGCAGCGCGACAGTACAAAGGAGTCCTGTGACTTACAGGGGAATACCCAGCCGGTGTGGCTCAGGGGTTGAGCGCGACCCCTGCACCAAGACTCCCGGGTTGGAGTCCAGCTCAGGGCACCCGCCCAGGTTGTGGGCCGAGTCCCCAGTGCGGGGTGGGTGCAGGAGGCGGCCAAGGGATGTTCTCTCTCAACGACATTTCCATCTTCATCTCCCTCTCCCTAAAATAAGTAAAGGAAAAAAATAGTTGATGTTTACCAAATAATAATAATAATCATAATAATAATAAATTACGGGGAAACTGGGGCCCCCTCCGGCGCGACCCCTCCCCGCACGCGCCCCCTAATGCGGGAGGGCCGGGACTACTGAGACGCTCCCTAACTCCACGGCACGGAGACTTATGGGAAATAGAGTCCTGGCAGTTGTCCCACAGCCCCGGGTGGGCCCCGGCAGGCGGACTTCAGGGTCCTCGTGCGCATGTGCGCCTGGGGCTGTGTGCGTGTTCGCGCAGGCGCACTGCTGCCGTGCTGCTGTCGCTTCCTGTCCGTGCCCAGGTGCGGGCTGGCCGCGGTTCCCAGGCTTTGGCCTCGGTTGGGCGAGGGTACCGGGCCTGCCGGGCCGGCGCTGTGGGTCGGGCCGCCACCCAGCGGGCGCGGGGCTGTGCGGGACGGGCTCGCGCGCGGGCGGACTCTGGAGCGGGACCTCCGAGGCGACCCCGAGCCCGCGGGCCAGGCCCGAGGAGCTGGGCGGCGGCGGCGGCGCGGTCCGAGCTCGGCCCGTCTGCATCGCGGCGGCCGGGCCGAGGCGCGAGGGACAGTGACGTCCCCGGGAGGGACATTCTCCTGAGTGAGTTTGTCCCGTAGGCCCCGAGCCTGGTCCTCGGGGACGCGGCCTGGGGAGGCGCAGAGGCGGGGACCCCGGGGGAGAAGCGGCGGAGCCTCGGGAGCCTTGGGGCAGATCAGCAGTCCCCACGGGGTAGGTGGTGCTGGGGACTCGCCCCGGCCGAGGACACGAGAGTGTGCGGCCGGCGCTCCCCGGAGATCCCGTGTCCGGGCCGGAGGGCAGGGGCAGGCTGCTCCGGAATGGGCGCTCCCCTGGGGCTTGTGACTTCTGGGTCTCCTGGGGGACCTGGGGTCCCAGGCTGGGCTGCGGATGTGCCGTGTGCCCTCCTCCCTGCACACCCAGCACCCCTTCCCCCTCAACGCCCCTCAGGACCTTTGTTCTCTGATCTAAGTGTGTGCCCGTTCCCCTGGGTCTGTCCTGTGCAGCCAGTGCAGCGGGGACAGGTCTGCAAGGCGACGTCCTGCTGCTAGGTGCCGGAGGAAGAGGCTGGGCCTGAGAAGGGCGGTGACTTGTCGGAGGTGGTGTGCTGTGCAGGTGGGATTGCTAACAGCACTCAGACTCGCAGGCCAAGTGTTGTGCCCGCTGTATTACCATGTCCTTAATAAAAGATTAAACACAGTGCTAACCAAGTTTAATCAGATAAATAAAACCATGCCTGGATGTATATTTATCCCATTTTTGAGAGCTCCTATTCTGTGTTCCTGTTTATTATTTGATCTTTAACAATTGAAAGAAACAGCAAGAGAATAGGTGAACAGTATGACAGGATCTCCCCCCCCCCCCCGTTTTTTTTTAATGGTGGCCAACTATTTGAAAAAGAGGTCAGTGTTTATGTTAACCAGTAAGAGTAGCCTGTCTAATTACTTCCCACCCATTTGGCGTGTAAGTGGTTCAGGTGTGTATTTCTCCTCTGTCACCCTTTAGCCCCTTTAGAGTGTGCAGGGTATAATTTTATTGCATTTTCTTTGGTGATTCTTATGCAGGAGGTTCCTGGCTAGACAGGCCAGGTTACTCATTACTTCAATTACTTGCTTCTCCTCCCCTAGGTCCACTGTTAAGTCTCTACACTTTTCCAGGAGCGGCAGAAAATGCATGAGTCCCAGGTGAGTTTTCCCACTTTGCTTTGTAATATTTTTTAGGGGGTTCATAAGGATCCATACTTTAAAATGGGAACATAGATAAAAGACGTTATGTATGTTGGATCAGCAACAAGAGTGTTTGTCAAATTCACATGTGCAAGCAGTATGATACTTTAGGGCTATTGAAGTTGAGCTGCAAATATGATCAATGTCCTTGACCATCATAGGAAAAGGAAAACACCATCCATTATGTGATTTGTATAGACTGTAAGAGAAACTGTTTTTGTGGGTTGTAAAGATTTCATAGTACTTGAAAATTTTTCTTTAATAAAGTTGATATACTGTGGATAGCTTTCATAGTAACAACCAGGAAATCATTGCAATGTATGGCTTATGCAACTTTGTGCTTATGATTTTTCCAGGCACCAAAATACTGTGATCCAAATAGACACGTTTCCATTTTTACTGTTTGATCCAGGGATAAAACAGAAGACAAGGACTTACTCTTCCTTCAGATATTTCCGTTAGTCTGAAAAGTATTCTCCAGTCAAGATGTCCTCACTTCCCATTCCCACTGCAGTTCTCAGTGTCTTGGCTTTGTCCTTAAACACTTTCCTGCATCTGTTGGTCAGGATTAGCAGTGACCTAATTATAGTCAAATCCAGTGGACATTTGCCAGTCCTTTTCCTCACGTGACCAACCATTCATCTGCCTTTGACATCTGTTACTTCTAAACATATTTTCTCCCTTTACTTAGCTTTAAAAAAACTGACCTGTATTTCTGTATGTATCTTTGAACGATAAAGAGTCTTTCAGAAGTTGGGTGGGGATAACTCACAATATTATTTTATCTTATATAATATTCTTTCTTATATAATATTCTTATATAATATCTTTTATTATATAAGAAATAATATTTCTTATATAATAAAAGAAAGTTTCACAGTTTTTTTTTAATGTTTTTTGGTTTGTTCTTTTCAGTTAGGATACAAAAAGAGGTCATAGGTTGCAGTTGGTATATAGGTCTTTAAATCTTTTAATAGTAACTTTCTTGTGTTATTTCTTTGTAATTTATTTTTTTAAGAAATTGAGTTGTTTATCCTCAGTTTCCCACAGTCTGGATTGTGCTGATTGCATTGCTATCTGTTTTAACTTTACATTTTATTTTTGTTAATCCTCACCCAAGGATATTTTTTCATTGAATTTTTAGAGCGAGTAGAAGGGGGGGGGGGACATCGATGTGAGAGAGACACATTGATTGGTTGCCTCCTGCACGACACTGACCAGGGCTGGGGATCAAACCTGCAACCCAGGTACGCGTGCCTTTGACTGGGAATCAAACCCACAACCCTTTGGTCCGAGGGCCAATTCTAACAGCTGAGCCAAACCAGCCAGGACTCAACTTTAATTAAAAAAATTTTTTTTCTGTACTGATTTTAGAGAGAGAGGAAGTGAGAGGGAGAGAGAGATAGAAACATCAATGAGAGAACATCCATTGGCTGCCTCCTGCCGGCAACCTCTAGGTGCATGGGTCAGTGCTCAACCACTGAGCCACACCAGCCGGGCCTTTACTTTTTAAAAATTCCCTGGACACCTGGTAAAGTTGGTAGTTAGATCTGGAAATTTATTCAGATTTCGGTTCAATTCTTTTGGCAAGACTGTGTTTTCCATGACATTTGTCTTCTTTCTTCCGGAGGCCCGTAGTATCTTCCTGTCTTTGTTTTGTGGTGTTAGCATCTGTTGATTGATGTTTGTTGCCGTGATCCACTAATTCACTAGGGGTGACCAAATGGTGATGTGCTTCTTTACCATTTCTTCCTTGCTTACTAGCTAGAATCCTTGGCTAAAGAAAAACATCTCTCTACTTGGTTCTGTGATTCATACAGGGAAGACAATTTTCAAAATACTGAACAGGCACCTGAGCGACAGGATTTTTTATGTTTGCTTCATTCTGTTATCATTATGAGCTCATGGTTTTAAACAAATTTTAAGTATTTTGGTATTTTAAAGTTGTTACTCTTTTTAATGTTTAACTGAGTCCATCTTTGAATCCCTTCACGTTAGTTTCTGAGTCCTTTTGAAAACATCCCCTATATATTTGATAACATTCTCTTTTATTCATTTTATTTGTAGAAAATTTCATATTTATAGAACAGTTACAAGGATTGTACAAGAACTCCCAGGTTCCTTTTGCCCAAACACTCCACAGGTTTACATTTTCCACATTTGCTTTATTATTTTCTCTCTGCGTATATATATTTTTTTCTGAGCTATTTGAGAGTTGGTGTCATATGTCATACCCCTTTACTCTTTAATACTTCAAATTTACCCTCCCAAGACCAAGAATATTTTCTTACATAGCCATGGTACAGTTACTGAATTTAGGAAATTTAACATTGATGTAATACTTTTATCTAGTGCACGGTTCATCTTCCAGTTTTGCCAGTTTTCCTAGTAACTTACTTTAAAAATTTTTCTGATATAGAGAATTCAGTCTAGGATTATGAATTTCATGTAGCTTTCATGCTTTTTAAGTCTGTTTAACATGGGATAGTTTCTCAATGCCATTATAATATTCGAGGAATACAGGCTATTTTATAGAATTCTTTGAATTTAGATTTCACTGATGTTCTTCATGATCATGTTTAAACTGTGAATTTTTGGTAGGAATACTACACAAATATGATTCCTTTGAAATCTATGGCACAGCCCTGGCCAGTTTGGCTCAGCGGTTAGAGCGTCGTCGGCCTGCGGTCCGGAGAGACCCGGGTTTGGTTCCCGCTAAGGGCATGTACTTCGGTTGCAGTTTGTCCCCGGCCCTGGTTGGTCGTGTGGGTGGCAGCCACTCGATGTGTCCCTTCACGTAGATGTTTCTCTCTCTCTCTCTCTTCCTCTCTCCCTCCCATTCTATCTGTACAAAAAATGGAAAAATATCCTCGGGTGAGGATTAAAAAAAAAAGAGAGAAATCTATGGCACAGGATAGGGTCTCTCCCCGACAAGTTAACGTGCACTTGAGAAGACTGCCCGTTCTTCTGCTGGTGGGAAGTGTCTGTAAATGTCCCTGAGATCAAGGGGCAGTGTTGTTCAGGTGGACTGTATGCGTGCTGATTTTTTGCCTACTGGTCCTAATCATGAGAGGGGGAAGTCGAAATCTGTGAGTGTGGTTTGTCTATTTCTCCTGCAATTCTATCAGTTTTTGCTTCGTGTATTTTATTAGGTACAAAAACATTTAAGATTGTTAAGCCCTCCTGATTAACTGGCTGCTTTGTCATTGCGAAGTGGCCTCCTTTATCCCTGGAAATACTCCGTGCTGTGCAGTGGCCTTTCTCTGCTATTCGTATCCCCAGTCCAGCTTTCCTTTAAGTAGTGGTGTGTGTGTATCTTACCCAGGCTCCTGCCTTGAACCTATTTGAGCCTGTATATTTCAAGTGCATTTCTTATAGGCAGCATATAGTTGGGTTTTGCTTTTGTATCCAATATGACAATTTCTGACTATTTTCTTTTCCATCACCATTTATTTCCCCTAATTGGGATGTTTAGACCATTTACATGTGATGTGACTATTGATAAAACCAGTTAGGTTATAGTCTGTTGTCCTTGTTTTCTATTGGTCCCATCTCTTTTGTTTCCTTTTTCTTTTTTGTCTTCCTTCTTTTCAGTTAATTATTTTTTATGATTCCATTTTATACCTTTTGTTGGGTTGTTAGCTATCACACTGTTTTGTTATTTTAGTGGATGCTTTGAGGTTTATAGTATGCAACTTTAATTTATCATAGTTTATCTTCAAGTAATAGATCATTTCCTTGAAGTAGAAGTTTACAGATACTTTCCATTTATCTCATCTTGGTCTTTGTCCTATTGTTGCATTTTACTTTTATAGGATGTATCAATCCCATAATACATTGTTATTTTTCATTAAACAGTTATCTTTTTAAGAGACAGTAAGTGTAAGAGAAAATGCATAGTTACCATTTTTGGTATTTTTCTCTTGCTGCCTTTAAACTTTCCTCTTTATCATTGGTTTTGAGCAGTTTGATTGTGATATGTCTTGATTTTTTTTTTTTCCATGGTTCTGTGCTTGAGGAATCATTGAACTTCTTAGATCTGTTCATTCATGGTCTTCATCAACTTTGAAAAAAAACTTGACCATTATTTCTTCAAATATTCCCCTCCCCCCCTCCCCCACAGTGATTACTGTTACCTTTGTGTAATGGTGCTTGAAATTGTCTCAAAGTTCAGGGTTGCTCTTCATTTTCTTTCAATTCTTTTTTTCTCTGTGTGTTTATTTTACATGTGGTAAATGTTTGTCGGTCCTAAAACTGCCCCTTAGCACAGCACTGAAAACTGTGTTTGCTGGTCTCGAATGAGGTGTCCATTTTCCTGCGTTCCTCTTGCTGGTGCTTTTGGGCCTGGTGGAGTACACCTCTCGCTGCTGCAAGGAAACTGTTTTACGAGGTGATAAGTTGTCTTGCTTTTCCGAAAATACCTTTAGAGTATCATTAAGCTTATATGACACTTTGATTTGATATATAGTTCTAGGTTCAAAATCCCTTTTCTTTAAAAAGTGGTAGCAGTTCTCCATGAGAAACAACATCAGTTACCAAGATCTAGTACATTTTTTTTCCTCTGTAACTTTTTCTGGATCTTTTTCTTATCCTTTTGGATATTTTATCAGGGACTTTCGGGCTGTCTGTAGCTTTCCTCCTGTATTCTCTGCACGTTAGATGAGCCTTCTCGATGTGGAGGCTCACGGGGCCTTTAGCTCAGGCATCACTTTCGGTTCCGCCTTTAATATTTCCTGCGGTCCCTCCTCTACAGTCTGTCTGTCTGAAAATGTCGGCTCTGGCCACCTTAAATTTTTTTCATCATTTCAGTTTCTTACTTTCTTTAAAATTTTTTTTTCTTTATTGATTTTGGAGACAGAGGAAGGGAGAAGGAGAGAGAGCTAGAAACATCGATGAGAGAGAACATCGACTGGCCGCCCCCTGCACGCCCCCTACTGGGGATTTGGCCCATAGCCTGGGCATGTGCCCTGACCGGGAATCGAACTGGTGACCTCTTAGTGCACGGGTCAATCAATGCTCAACCACCGAGCCACCCTGCTGGGCTCAGTTTCTTATTTTCTGAGTGACTTCCTTGATTATGTATTCTGTATCTCATTTGTTATTCAAGCTTCTTACTTGAGGATCTTGAAAAAATTCAATAACCCAGTCTTTAATTTCTAAGTATTCTCTGGTGGCTATATCTTAGCAAAATGTTCTCATTTTATGGAAGCAATATCCTGCTTAATTTATTAAAAAATATAAATCAATACAAAATAATGTAAGTTGTTTCTTTTATGAATTTGATTCTATTGTTGGGTTGGGTTAAATATCTTTTATTTATACTGTTCTCCTCAGCTAACGATTGTTGACTTTTTAAATCTCAGCTTTTGAGACAATAATTGAAGCTAGTGTGGATGTGCTCGGTGAACAACCCCGTTTTGCTCCTTGGCGGAGAGGGCGGCTGCAGACGGGGGTGGGCAGGGGTGTGTGTAACTAGATTAGCACCACTTCATTTCCCCCCATTTTCTCATCGTGATGAAATACACATACTACAGAATTTGTATCTTCGCCATCTCTAAGTCCTCATTTAAAGGCTTAGGGCATTGAGCACTTTTCATATTATTGTGCAGCCATCGCCACCGTTCATCTCCAGAACGCTTCTCAGCTTGCGAAACTGCACCTCTGTCCCTGCTAAACACTGACCCCATTTCTTCCCAGCCCCCAGCAGCCTCCCTTCCACTCCCTGTCTCTGTAAACTTAACTCCTCTCAGGACCCTGTCTACATGGAGTCATACGGTATTCGTCTCTGACTGGGCTATTGCACTTAGCGTAATGACCTTGAACTTCTTCATGTTGTAGAATCTCAGAATGTCCTTCTTTTTAAGGCTGAATAATGTTCCATTTGTATCTATACCACATCTTGCTCATCCATTCATCCGTCAGTGACACGGGTCACTTCCCCATCTTAGCTGCTGGAATAATGCTGCTGTGAACACAGGTGTACAAGTATATCTTTCTGTCCTTGCTTTCAGTGTTTGGGGGTACAGACCCAGAGGTAGAATTGCCGGTTCATATGATAACTCTGTTGTTGATTTGTTGAGGAACCATCATATTGTGTCCACAGCAGCTGCACCGTTTTCCATTCCCAGCCACAGTGCCCAGGGTTCCAGTCTCCCCTGCACTTTGGCCAAGCTGAAGTCGCCTTATGTTGAGAGCAGTTCTCTGAGCGTTGCCTCCAGGAAAGACATCCGTGTTCAACGTGGATAGAGTTGAATATATGTCTGGTTTTCCCAAGACGGTCTTGGGTTGCACCTCCATCCCTGGTATCCCATCTGACTTACCATTGTCCTGATGGAGTTTTCTGTTTGGACCGTGAGTCGGTCATCACCTGATTATAGGGGTCTGGAGTGCGATCTGCCCGCTGTCTTGGCCATGGGGTTTTCCCAGGTTCGGCCTTCATCGGCTGCTCTGTGCACGGAAAGCAAGAAGCCGTTTGAGCTGCCCAGGTGGCCCAGTGGCTTATCCGGTCTGCCAGTCCCTGTTTGACGGCCTCTTGATGGGCTGGGGGTGCTCGGCAGCTCTGTTGGCGAGTCTGCTGCTCACGTGTGCTGCGGCCAGTGCCTGCCCTGTACAAACTGCCCTGCAGCTCTGAGCTCTCACCTGCTGTACCCTGTGTCTCAGGCGTTTCCCGGAGAAGTCCTGCTGTCAGTAAGCTCTGTGTTCCAGCGCTCCTGTGAAAATGAACTCAGTTGTCAGATTTCTTTGCATTGGACTTTTTGGGTTTTGTCTTAGGCAGGAAAGTAATTGTCAACTTACTTTGGAATTAGAATCCCTTCTTACTGTGAAAAAGCTGCCCTTAACCAAGTGCCCTCCTGGTCTCTGCCCTGTGCCAACCCCCTAGCACTGAAGCTGCTTCTGTTTTTCCACTGGCGCTTTTCACCCTCACCCCTTCCTTCCCTTTGTCCTGTGGAACACCCAGCAGAGCCGGGAAGCCTAATCCGGCCACAGGAACGTGAGATAACTTGTTTCTCTTTTGTTAAACTACCCTCCACCTTGTATGCATCACCCTAAGAACCCCTCGGGCATTCATGCCAGCAACAGATATTTACTGCTGCGAAAATGAGGTTCTTGAGATAAAAGCCCAAGGAAGTAGAGGGCAGAGATGCAGCGAGCTGCTTGTGAGAACGGGAGTCACAGGCTCAAGGAGCTGACAGTGGGGACCCCCAGGGCAGCGAGTGTGAAAGGAGACCAGGAGGGTCCTAGGGTGTCAGCACGAGCAGGCAGGGAAGAGGAGCAGCCACCAGCAAAGGCGACTGAGGAGAATGACAAGGGATAAAATGAGCACATTCATTCACATGGTGTCTCCTGACCGGGATACATCCAAGGCTTTTAGAGCAGGAGTGAAACTTGACTCATCCGTGTCCCCTAAACCCAGACACTTCCATTGCAAAATCAGAAGACAGTTTCTTTTTGGTTTGAGGGTTTTGTTTTTTGACACAAGAAGGAACCCAAAGGCCATGTGTTTGCATGTGATTTGTTTTCTTTTCACTACCTGTAACATAAAAGGGATACAATGTCCATGGTTGACTTTACCAGTGAGCTCGGGATGCCTTGTCCACGTCACCCAATTCCCATCATGCTGCTGTTACAGGGACCAGTGTCATTCAAGGACGTGGCCGTGGACTTCACCCAGGAGGAGTGGCAGCAGCTGGACCCTGTCGAGAAGACAACCTACAGGGATGTGATGCTGGAGAACTACAGCCACCTCGTCTCCGTGGGTGAGCAGAGCGGCTTCTGAGTTGCTGCTGTGTGAGGGCTTCTAGTTCAATGACTTTTATCCTTGAGTTTGAAGAAATAAGTGATGAGACTATTGAATTCCTTTTGGGCACCAGGTAGAGTATCTGTATCTCTTCTTCTTCATCAAAAAAGTTCTAATTTTGATAAGGTGCAAAACGGCCACCTTATAATGCAGCCTCCAAGGCAGCACCTTCCACCTGGAGACGTGGAGGCCGAGCATCTGGTCCAAGCCCGTCTCCTTCTCCCGTGCACAGGGTACGACAGCACCAAACCCAATGTGATCGTCAAGTTGGAGCAGGGAGAAGAGCCGTGGGTGGCAGAAGGTGACTTTCCTTGCCAGAGCTGTCCAGGTAAGTTAGAATGTTCCAGTTTTAGAAATGGTCCATCAAAAAAAAAAAAAAAGGAGAGACGTCTGTAACATAAATAAATTAATAAAAATTTTAAAAACAAGAAATGGTCCATGAGAACTTTGGGAGTGACCGACGGCATCTCTGCCTCAGATGCCCTGAGTCACAGCCCCCGGACTCAGGCTCTCCCTCCAGCACACGCCCGGTTTCCGTGTGAGTTCACGTGTGATTCCATGTGCAGGGACAGTCCGTGCATCGCCGCCGAGGAGCGGTCACCGCTGGCTCTTGAATTCTCGTGACTGACCTGCTCCCGCGCCGCAGGAGTGCCCGTTTGCAGGCAGTCGGAAGTCGGACAGAGCATCTCCTTGAGATTTGCCTGTTTGTTCTTTTTGTTGTCCATTTACTTTCCTTCCTTCTAGGAAATGCCTCAGGCTTACGTTCTGCCTCCAGTTCCTCTCCCCACCCCATGCGCTCAGGTGTCACCCCCTCGTCCTGTCCCAGAGGCGCGAGGCAGCCCCAGCCCCAGCCCGGTGTGGCTTGCGCTCTGTCTGGAGGAGCTGACCATTGCTCCCGGCCGCGCCCTCGGTCGATGGTGCTGGGACACGAGCTGGGCCCTCCTACCCCAAGCGCTCGCTCACGTCGGCCTGTCCGCCAGCCCCATCCGAAGCAGCTGTTCAGAAAGTCTTTGTCTCATCAGTGGGTTTAGGTTCGTTCTGTTGCCTCCCTCAGGAGCATTGCACCCTGGGACCTGCTTTCCATGTCTTAACTTTTCTTGGGATCCCTTAAAAGGCTTCATCTGGTCTCAACTTTTAGGACTTTGGACTCTGTGTTCATGTTACTGATACAAATTGATGCCTAACCCTAAGCTGTGGTCAAGTGAACTGTTTTACCTGACAGGTGCCAGTGCCAGTGAGCTAGTCCGCTGCCCCTGCCTTCCCAGAAAGACCCTCCCAGGTCACTAGTTCTGGGCACTCTCCTGCCTCTCTTTATTCACTACATGTACAAGTTGCGTGAACAAGAACGTGAGCACTGACTTGCGGTGGGGGGAGGAGCCTAGAATAACTTCTGTTTTTTCTGTCAGTGTTGGGACTCAGGATGTTGTAGATTTCAGAGCACAGAACAGTCAGTGTTGCAGTCAGTGTGGACGAGAGCAGCTGACGGTGGTTTAGCGGATCCCTAAATCTGTAAGATACCTAGATAAAAGTCAGTATTTTAGGGGCAACTTTAGGAATCACGTTTAAGGTTTTACACCAAATGAAACCTGGAGTGTGGGAACTCTTGTTTGTATTCAGAATTAGGTTACAGTGTTCTGTCAGGGTCATGACTGGTTTCAGAACGTTAATGGTGAAATTTAATGCTCATTTGTTTTGTGTCCAACATTCTAAGCAGGTGACATGTGCTAACTAAGTTTGTCCGTTCCCAACCTGTGATTTAGGCACTATTGTCCACGTTTCAGATGAGTGAAACTGCATCAGTTAAGTCACTTGCTCAAGGTCCCCCAGCTTGTAACATGTCTGTGTCGGGGTTATAGTGCTCCTAACCACTGTTCTGTGTTGTGCAGACAAGTTCAGTGAGTGTTAAATAGACCATCAGCCCTTCAGAGAGCTGATCTTATTGGAAAGATCTATTGCTGTCTGGTCTTTCTTACTTCTTGGGGACATTTATGTGCCAGGAACTCTCCTTCCTGGTGAAATGTGACCCGGGCTAGGGAGTTGGGACCCTGCTTGTGGGACTGTCTCTAAACATGAGGAAATGGAGCTTTTTAAATGTTTATTTGGATTTCTTTGCAGAATTGAAAGGCAGAGATTTTGGAAGGAGCTACACTAGTAAGGATGTTGCTGTGGTAATCTTGTTATGAAGTGATATCTTACAGTTTAATATAAGTTGTAATCTCTTTCTCCTAAATGTAAGCCATCCTAGAGTGTTTCCTTTGAATACGCATTCAGCAATTGTTGTCGGTTCTTCCAGTGCCCCCTGTGCTCTGAGCCCTCCGGTTGCTGCCTGGATCTAGCACTCTTTCAAGTCTTTGTCCTCGGCTCATCACTTCTTGTGTTTGTTACCTCTTCCGCCAAGTTTTAAACATGTTTGTAAAGTAACAAAGTCACCTGTGTTCAAAGTAAATTTATTCTTCCTTTATCCACAAACGTTGAGTCCTATCCAACTCTCATCTCTTCCCCATACCTCCCCTAGCTCCACCAGTGTGTGTGTGTGTGTGTGTGTGTGTGTGTGTGTATCTGTCTTGAATGACAGATCAAGGGGAAAAGAGGATTATACACTTGTAATTACTTTTTAGTGGTGGAGATTGGCCTAAAAGCCAGAGTCAACCCCACAGTAGGGCACTTGAGTACCACTCCCATTCTGTAGCTGGTGTATTCAGATTGACAAGGTTTATTTAACTTTATTCCTTTTCAGAAGAAATCTGGAAAGTTGATGACATGTTGGATAGAATCCAAGAAAATGAAGATGAACATTCAAGGCAAGCTATTTATATCAATAGCAAAAGGCTAACTGAAGAGAGAGAGAATGCATTTGATAAAACTTATAATGCAGAAGCAAGCCTCGTTCCTTCAAGCGTATCTCATAATTGTGTCTCATGTGGAAAAAAACTAGAATCTCGTTCAGAATTAATTATTAGTGATGGCAGCTATGCAAGAAAAAGACCTGATGAGTGTAGTGAATGTGGGAAAACATACCATGGAGAGAAACCCTATGAAATTAATCAAAATGGGGAAGGTTTTTCTCAAAATGAAGAAAGTATTCTTCAGAAAATTGACATTTTAGAGAAATCCTTTGAGTATAATGAATGCATAGAAGCCTTGGACAATGAAGCCGTTTTCATTCCTCATGAGAGAGCTTATGTGGGAGAGAAGCCCTGTGAGTGGGGCGATTCTGGACCTGACTTTCTCCAGATGTCAAATTTTAACATGTACCAGAGGTCACAGGTGGAGCTGAAGCCCTTTGAATGCAGCGAGTGTGGGAAGTCCTTCTGTAAGAAGTCAAAATTCATTATACACCAGAGGGCTCACACGGGAGAGAAACCTTATGAATGTAATCAGTGTGGGAAATCCTTCAGCCAAAAGGGAACCCTCACTGTGCATCGGAGATCACACTTAGAGGAGAAACCCTATAAATGTAACGAGTGTGGGAAAACCTTCTGTCAGAAGTTACATCTCACTCAACATTTGAGAACCCATTCAGGAGAGAAACCCTATGAATGTAATGAATGTGGCAAAACCTTCTGCCAGAAGACACATCTCACCCTCCACCAGAGAAATCATTCAGGGGAGAGACCCTATCCATGTACTGAGTGTGGGAAATCCTTCTCCCGCAAGTCAGCCCTCAGTGACCATCAGAGAACGCACACAGGAGAGAAACTTTATAAATGTAATGAATGTGGGAAGTCCTACTACCGAAAATCTACCCTTATTACACATCAGAGAACACACACAGGAGAGAAACCCTATCAGTGTAGTGAGTGTGGAAAATTCTTTTCTCGGGTGTCATACCTCACTATACATTATAGAAGCCATTTAGAAGAGAAACCCTATGAATGTAACGAGTGTGGCAAAACCTTCAATTTAAATTCAGCCTTCATTAGGCATCGGAAAGTACACACAGATGAGAAACCCCTCGAATGTAGTGAATGCGGAAAGTTCTCTCAGTTCTCATATGTTGCTGACCATCATACAACCCCTTTAGGAGAGAAACCCTATGAATGTAATGAATGTGGGAGAACCTTCCTTGAGAATTCAGCCTTTGACGGGCGCCAGTCACTTCCCAAAGGAGAGAAATCTTATGAATGTAATATATGTGGGAAATTGTTCTCTGATTTGTCATATTACACTGTACATTATAGAAGTCATTCGGAAGAGAAGCCCTATGGGTGTAACGAATGTGGGAAAACCTTCTCCCATAATTCATCCCTCTTTAGACATCAGAGAGTACACACAGGAGAGAAGCCCTATGAGTGTTATGAATGCGGAAAGTTCTTTTCTCAGAAGTCATATCTTACCATACATCATAGAATTCATTCGGGAGAGAAACCCTACGAATGTAGTAAATGTGGAAAAGTCTTCTCTCGAATGTCAAACCTCACTGTACACTATAGAAGCCATTCAGGAGAGAAACCCTATGAATGTAACGAATGTGGAAAAGTCTTTTCTCAGAAGTCGTACCTCACTGTGCATTACAGAACTCATTCAGGAGAGAAGCCCTATGAATGTAATGAATGTGGGAAAAAATTCCACCACCGATCAGCCTTCAACAGCCACCAGAGAATCCACAGGAGAGGGGATGTGAATGTACTCGATGGGGGAAATCTCCTGTGAAGTCAGACCTCATTTTAGAAAACCTTCTGAATGTAATGATTTGGAGTCAGATATGATCTGAGAGTTCATGTTTCTGAGTGGGGAACGCATTTAGGCGTTAGATTCATTTCTACCTGAATTTTGGCAGAGGAGGATCCCTAAGAAGGCAACGGGAAGCAACACCTTCAGCAAGACGCTACAACTCATTGGACACTAGATAATTTATACAGGAGTCAACTTTATAAATATTTAATATTTATTTTGGATTCAAATTGTATTTACATGTCAGGGACTCATACCAAGGCGAAGTCTGTCAAAGGGATAAATGTGGAAAAATATTTTTTTGTCTTGGAAATTGTTATACCAAAAGCCATATTTCTGATGTAAAAATCACCTGTTTATAAGAAAGATATCAAAAGCTATCGCCTTTATGTATAAAATGAACTTTTCAAATCATCAGGACTTAATAATGAGATCAGTAGCATTAAATACCTATGTGGAAGTTTCCATCATGTTTTAGAAATGCAATCTAACAATAATCCTATGCAATTCTGTGCAAGTTTGGATTTGAATAATTTGTGAAAAGGCAGCATTCTTATTTGAGTATTAAGATGGCGAAGTGTTGGTGAGATGTTTGCCAGGTCAAAGTAGTTCAATGCATAACCTTCTACTCTTTTGAGGCGCTTACAAATGGATTTCTAATAAATGCCTCACTAATAGTGATTTTTGTATTTTTCAACTACATTTGAGCAAAAATGATTTTTAAAAATACTATTTTCATAAACTGTGTCTAGATAATTGGGAATCAGGTCTGTTTCAGTGAAAAAGGACAACCCTCCTGTTCTCACTCTGTAAAGTAAGCCCAGCTCTCACACCGCTCGTTTCTAACCCCTAAGTTTGACTGTACAGTGTGCCAGCAAAGTGTGATTCAGATTTTGTCTATACTTTCATTTAATATGAATACAGTGTCTTTATTTTGTGCACTGCCTCTTATTTCCAGTATTTTGGAACAAATTGATACAAGTTTCTAGCAGACATTTTTTATTAACTCGATGTCCATGCTCCCCTCTCCTCGATGGAAGAGTTTGGTGTCTGTCATTTCTCCACCTAACTCAGAGGGTAAGTCCTAATTAGTCTAAACCAATCATGATAATTCCATTCTGATTGCCTGTACCTCTTTTGTAGTGGTTACGTGAGCCCGTCCTGGGCGGACAGAGTGATTGCATGTGTCTTACCCCAGGAATGTGGAGGGCATTTTAGTAATTAAGAATCAGTAACTGATACACCACGCGAAGAAAAGTAATCTAGCAGGCAGGGAACTAATAACATGGTAACATCACCATTCATTTTTGTTCTCAGCAAACTGTGGATAGAAAGGAACTTCTTTAATTGGATCAGGAGTGTCTTAAACTAAATCAGCAGCATGCCTAGTGGTGAAATATTGAAAGTTTTCTCCCAAGATCAAAAACAGATAAGGATATCTACAATCACTAATTTTGTTCAGTGTTGTGCAGAAGGTACCCAGCCAGCACTATAAGGGAAGAAACATAAAAGGCATAAGGCTTGGAATGAAGTAAAACTTTTATTTGCAGATGACATGATTTTGTACATAGAAAGTTCTGAGGATTATACAGATAATTAGAATTAATGAGTATAGGTCCCTGCATATAAGTTCATTATGAAAAATTATTTTAATATACCAGCAGTAAACATAGAAAGTGAAAAACTAAGAAGCAATACCACTTACAGTAGCATCAAAAACCCTTAAGTGCCTAGGGGAAAACTTACCTAACCATACTTTCAAGATAATTTTGTTTTAATTGCAAAACAGGAACATACCTACTTTGTGGATTCCCGGATAGTTCTTTAAAAGATGTCAGCTTTCCTCAAATTTCTATATTCAATGCAGTGTCAAAGTCCTAATAAGTTCTTTCACTGAAATGTAGTGAATGCTAACATTCATGTGAAAACTCAAAGGACCGATAGTAGGCAAGGCTGTCTCCTAGAACAGACAGAGCAAGAGGACCTAGGTTTGCAGATATGAAGACCTGTTGTAATGCCACAGGGGTTCTGAGGGTGTGGTGTTGGCACAGAGACAGTTGCCCAGTGGAACAGCCCGTGGAGTGCAGAAGCGCCCATACACAAGCATCCAGTGATGACGAAGATGACAATGCGGTGTCATTTGGGAAAAGGTGTGTTTTGTTTTGTTTTTCCCAATAAATGCTGTCAATTAAAATTCATAATTTAATAGAAAATGGAAAAATTAATTGAGGTGAATTTCAGATCTAAATATGAAATATAAAAATAATAAGGCTAGGAGACTATGTAACCTTATAATAAATAAAATTTTCTCAAAACTCAAAAAACATTAAACCATAAACTAAAATGTGTTAATTTGGATATATTAGGTTTTATTTTTTTTTTTGTTTATGAAAAAGACACCATTAAGGAAGCAAACAGGCAAACCACAGTGGAGAAGAAATTCACAATTCACACACATGGCTACGGACTTGAATGAAGAGGGACTGGTAAATGTTTCTGATAAGAAAGGTAGTAAGTATTCTGGGCTTTGCAGGCTACACTATCTCTGTCACAGCTACTCAATTTGGCTCTTGTATGGTGAAAGCCATATACAATATAGAAACAAATGAATGTGGCTTTGTCCCAATAAAGCTTTATTCACAAACAGGCTGCGATCTGGATTTGGCCTGCAGACCATAGTTGCTGACCCCTGATCTAAAGTGTAAAAAGAACACCTACACATCAACAAAAAATTAGAAAATGGTTAAAAGACTTGGACATCCACCTCACAAAAGAGGATATCCAGATGGCCAACCAACATGAAAAGGTATGTTTGTTTTATTAGTAATCAGGCAAATGCAAATTTTGAAAGTACCCATTGAAATGGTTAGAATTAAAAGCACGAGAAAGCATCAAGTTTTGGCAAGAATGTAAGCGACAGGAAGTCTATGCTGCGGCTGGTGTGGCCAATTGTCACTTCAAGCCGAACATGTGTATATCCTTTTAACCCAAACCTAGCAGAAATGCTCGTGTATGTCCATGAAAAGACATATACAGGAATATTTGTGTAAATGCAAAACCCAGAGCTATCTGAAGGCACATGCAGCAGGGTGTATGAACTTCAGTGGCATATTTCTCCCTAGAATGCTGTGAAGCAAAAAGAATGAACGGTAACAGCTCGATTCACAAACAAGGTTGAATGATGGCATCCAGACACAAAAGTGAACATCATGTATGACTCATCTATATACAGTATAGGAACAGACAAAAGTGTGCAGTTAGGAGTCAGAGGAGCAGTTCATCTGGGCAAAGGCTGAGAAGGGGGGGAATCACTGGTACTGGTAACATTCTGTTTGAAATGTGGGTGCTGGATATCTGAGCATTCTGTGCACTCAGATATGTGTGTTTTTCTGCATGTGTGTTATACTTCCATAAAAAGTGTTTTTAAAATCGCAGGTGTCTACTATTCTTGTTGCACACACTCTTGCCTGCCATCTTTTTCTAGATGGGTCGGAATATGCTGCAGAACTGGAATGATGGTAGAGTTGGCATGATTCTGTGCAGGGAATACTCTTTGTGGTGGTTTTAATGGCAACTGCTAAGATTTCCTACACTGTGACCATAAGGCTTAATTATTATAACGTATACTTCAAGTAAAAGATTTAAAAGGTGATGGAGCCATTACATATTTTGTCATCCTACCCTTTGCATATATAAATGGGTCTGAACTGCCTCTTCAATAAAGAACTGATGTGTGTGAACGTTTTCTATTTTCTCAAACTGTTGTTAACATTTCTGAGTTCGGGGTGCATCATCACCCTGTCACAAGTGGTGGCCTTTCTTTGAGGTAAATAAATATAATGGTGAGTTTGATGAAAAAGTATTTAAAAGGTTTCAGGTAATCCTTTCAGATGCACAGTTACCAGCACCAATGTGAGAGTAAAGAAAATGGTTAACTAAGATTTTGCACCATAAAAAATAAAGCTCTTGGGTCCTGCCGGTGTGGCTCAGTGTTTGAGCATTGACCCATGCACCAAGAGATCGCTGGTTTGATTCCTGGTCAGGGGACATGCCCAAGTTGTGGGCCAAATCCCCCTGGGGGGCATGCAGGAGGTGGCCAATCAATGTTCTCTCGCATTGATGTTTCTGTCTCTCTCCCTCACGCTTCCTCTCTAAAATCAATGAAGGGAAAAAAATTTTTTTAAAGAAATAATAAAGCTCTTGGTTGGAGGGAGGAGACTCAGCTGATGGCACAACAGGAATGAATGATGACATTTGATGCAAGAGTCTGTGTACTTGGTTTTATTTCACCTTTCCCCTACTCCACTGAGCCAAGGGAGAACAGATGAACTGCGCCTTGCAGAGGGGTCACCAAGCAGTTGAGTGGTCCTGGAGGTCTGATCCCCGCATGGGCTGCCTGTTCCCAGTCCTCTGGGCCTAAGTGGGTGAGCGGTCAAGCAAAGCCGAGGCTCCCCTTCTACACGCCTGCCCTTGTCATCATGAGGTCCCCTCCTCCACCCCCATGTTTACTCCTGCTCACCTTGGGGTCAGTTAACTTTTCAAATTTTTCTCTGAAGTCCCTTAAATAGATCAAGACAATGCAAGACCAATTATGCCTGAGGACAAAGGTCAACCACTGTTTCTATTCCGCCCCAAATTATGCCTTGGTATGCTGTCCAACAAGACATTCCTTCAGAGAGGAAATGCGGGACGTGCAGCACCGCAGTGCACAGTGCTCCCGAATTAAATAAGGCGACGGCCACAAAGAGATGCAGCGACGGCCACAAAGAGATGCAGCGAGGAATGTAGTACCCCTTCAAACAGCCACGGGGGTCAGCATGGCCAACAAAAACACCTGCCCTCCACATTAAAGAGCGTCAACTCCTGTGGTTCCTGGCAAACTGGTGAACTGCACTGACTTGCTGACTCGTGGGCGACGGGTGTGCGTGGGAGTGCCGCGAGCGTCCTGCGAGGGAAGGCAGCACCGAGCCCCTGGAGAGCATGCGCGTGGGAGTGGGGAGGCGAGCGCACAGCGGGCGTCTGCTGGGCGAGACGCGAAGGGCGCCTGTTCTCCGCGCGAGCCCCGCGAGCCTGCCGCCCCGGGACGCCCTGGTGTGCAGCTGGCCCATCCTCCGGCGCCCACGGCCACGCTGTCACCACAGCAGGAGAAACCCGACGTTTTCCTGAGGATTCCAAAAAAGGAAGGGCAATCTTTGTAGCGGGCTGTCCGGGAGGGGTGGACAGGTGTAGGTCGTGTGTCCCCGCTGGCCGTGTTTGGGTTTGGGACATGTGTGTCCTCGGTAAACCACACTGAGAGGGGCAGTGCCCTGGGCTTCTCCAGCCAAGATCGCAGGAGCTGCCCCGAGAAAACAGCTCTGGCGGGAAGACATCCAGGGCTTCGGCCACAGAAGACACGGGAGCCGCCTGCGCTAGGAAACTCAGAACCAGTTTTGGTCGTGTGAAGTAGAAAGACACAGTTAAAAAGAGGGGACGTGTCTAGTACAGACCAAGATTCTTATTATTTGTCACTCAGTTTCCAAGGTAACATTTTTTTTTTCCTGCCTAGTAGTGTGATGTGGAATCAGAAAAGAGGGAAAAAAAAGATTCAAAAAATTCATGAGCTGGGAGATACGTGTGGGGAGAGGTTTTGCAGGAGGCTTTAATAAGAATGAAGAAAATGTGATGGGAAAGGATTGAAGTCGAGGTTTGAGCAAGATACCAAGAATCTCCTACTGGGGAAAACGCCATGAATGAAAGGGAAGTGACTTAATTTCACATGGGGGGGGGGAGGGGAGATGTCAAAATGACCTCAAAAGAAAGGTCGGTGCTCTAAACAAATGGTACGGAAATATTCATACTTCACTACAGTGAAATTTAAGAATAGTAAAGATAGCCTGGCAGGTGTGGCACAGTGGTTGAGCATCAGCCCATGAATCAAGAGGTCTTCTGTTTGATTCCCAGTCAGGGCACATGCCCAGGTTGTGGGCCCATCCCCAGTGGGGGGCATGTCAGTCAATGTTCTCTCATTGATGTTTCTGTCTCTCCCGCTCCCTTCCTCTCTCTCCAAATCAATAAAAGAAAAACATATTAAAGAAAATTTTGAAAGTTTCTATAAAGAGGCCATCATCCGAAAGATAACAGATTTCTTATCTTCCGTTTGCAGCCATTATGGAATAACAGAAAACAGATTTACCCTCCTCCTCAAACAGCTAAAAAAAATAGACAAAATAGATGAAATCACAGCGTTCAGACACTGGACATCAAGGTGTGGGACGGTGACCCCTGAGGGAAGAGAAAGTGGTCCCTACGCTTGTCCCAGCGTACTGTCTGGAGAGGCTTTGCAGGGGAGGGCACCCCAAGCTGCTGCGTGGTCTCCCCGAGTGGAGGAGCCAGAATTCAGGAAGGCCGGGGAGCTGGCACGCACAGGACAGTGTGAACAGGAGAGGACTGCACAGATCTTCGAGATCACGACATAGGAGAACCCCCAAACGCAGGGCTTAACTCAGGGATGGGACTCCACCCAGTCTGGGAGGAGAGACAGAGCAGGCTGGGTCTCCAGAGTCTTGCTCAACAAAGAGAAAGTGGCTCTGGCTTAGGTGTGTGGCCTGTTGTGACGGACGTTTCCAGCGAGTGGACTTGTCTTGACTAGGGGTGTGGTTAAAGAACGAGGACGTGGCTAAGTCCTGGGGGCGTGGTCATTGTGAAGAGGAACGGGCGGGTGTAACGGTGGGTGGGCGTGGCTCGGGTAGGGCGTGGTCAGCAGTGGGCGTGGCTTGGGCTCGAGCAGGCATCCAGAGCTCCAGGGGTCGCTCAAGCAACCGTCCGTATCTAACAGTCCCCGGGGAGTCCGAGGTCGGTGACCGGGCTGTGGACAGGTGAAGGGTGACTGAGGCCTGGGCATGAGAGCCGGGCCTCTGGAGCGATGGGCCTGGCACACGAAAGGGGGAGGAGGGGATCATAGACGGCAGTTAGAGGGGTTGAACAGGGTGGGAGGAGGCGACCGGACAGACGGCGGGGTCTCTGACCACCCACCTGTCACCCCCTCTCTTCCTCCCAACAGTCCTGCCTGCCTAGCCATGTGGGGCCCACTGGTTCTGCTGCTGCTGCTGCTTTCTGTCACCACCGTCCCCACGGCCACCGCTGCTCCCATCCCAAATGCCAAAGCCCAGGACACTCAGCAGAACCTGCTCCAAGGTTGCAACCGTTGCCTCTTGTGGGGGGCAGGGTGGAGGGGAGGGAGGAGGACAGAAAGGACCGCCCCGAGCAGACCGCAGGAGAGGGAGTCAGAGGGACTCAGGGAGGGAGACACAGGGACAGGGATATAGGGAGGGGGCCAGTGGGACACAGAGGCAGAATGGAGACAGGGCAGAGGGACAGGAACCCAGATAAGGGGGGACAAGATGCGGGGTGTGGACTGGTTCGGCCCTGAGAGTCGGGGTGGCGAGGGAAGGGGGAGGAAGGGACACCCAGCACTCAGACCACCGCCGGGCGGACCCGCTGTGGAAGCGGGACAGCTGCCCCCTACTCCATGGACTTCAGTGCCTCCCCAGGAACTGCTGCCGCAGAGGGCCAGGGCACTGGCCGGGGCAGCACCCTCGCCAGCTCACAGCACGAGCCCTTCCTGAAGCCAGTTGTTTCCAGCAGGTGTCCAAGCTGGCGGAGAAAGGGAGCCATGGGCGGCGGAGAACCCCGCCCCGCACTCCAGCTGTCCTCCCGGGACATGAGGGGGCTGCGTGGCCGCGCAGCCCGGAAGCCGGGGAGTCGGGCCTGCGGCTCCCTGAGAAGCATCTGTGGCTACAGGCCCTCAAGGCAGGGGGACCTGGCGCCTCCCCTGCCCAAAACAACCCACCCCCAAGACCCACTTCTTATCCCTTCCCAGGCTCAGCATCAGCCATAGCGGCTGGGGGTGGGCATCAGCTCTGGCAGGGAACAGACACGTACCCTCACCCGACCCCACCCCCAGCTCCGGTTAAAAATAAAGTTCTTTCTTACCCCCAGCTGTGCTGTGTCGGTTCCAGACCTGCCCCAACCAGAGAAGTTGCTTTGACCTCATCCCTTTTACAAGCTCCTGGGGCAGGAAAGTGCAATGAAATGCTTCCCAGAGAATGAGGCTCGCATTCAGTTCTCAAAAGGTTTTGTTGTTGAGAATTGGACATGCATGGGGTTGAGTCCCCTGCGTGCTGCCTGGGGGGACACCCTCCCTGGTGCTCCAGCCTCACTTAAAACTGGTACTTTAGAGCAGTCAGAGGTCTTGTTGGAGGTCATCAGGTGGAAGTTCCTGTCCCAGAGAAACAGGCACAGCTGATCTGGTCTCCTGAAGCTTGTCATACTTAGAAAATGGTCCCCTGTAGGTCTGGCTCTGTCCTTGAGGAAGTCACTTGGAATGGGGGCAACTCTCTGCTCTTTGACCCACAAGATGGTGGGGTTTCCCTCTCCCCACTGATACTCCTGGGGGATGCCTGTTTTGGGGAACAGAGCTCTCCAGATCCCTTCTGCTCCCTTGTCCTCGAGCCTGCTGATGCACAGAGACTTTTCAGTCAATGGCACACACTCTGCGTCAGCTATCTCAAAGCTTTTCTTCACTGAGGTGCTACTATTTGCTATGCATCCAGCTCCATCGACCATATTTGGGACTCGTGATGCCCACTCATCTGAGAAGGGGGTGCCAGGGATTCTACTTTTATTACCCTGAGTGTTTTCACCACTGGGGGA